CACCTGCAACTAAAGGAGGTATAGAATCGATGCAAAAATTCACATTACAGTCAATAGAATCAAGTTTCTCACCTTTAACCGGTCCTGACAAAACCCAGCCCAAGCTGGTCTTGACCGCCACAGGTTCGTCTGGCCCCCCTCGTATTGTTTCCCCCAATTGGAATTGCCATAGCCAGTCCGATCCAATTAGGCAATCAACTTCCAAGCTGTTTTTGGATTTGCAAATATCTGAGAATGACAACTTTGTTAAGTGTGCAAATTTCTTTTGAACTACCTCTATATGAACATTAGGAATATCAGCAATATCCTTAACTACAAAGGCTTCTATTTTTACACTCTCTCCTCCATTGCATGGACTTAGCGAAATTTGCACTACATCTCGCAAAGCAACATGTGCCTCCTTATTCCCAAACGCCTTTATTCCTAGCTGTTCACTCCTCACAGGCCTTAATCTGAGTCTGCCAACAGCCTTAGCCGTGATGAAAGATTTATGGCTTCCTGTATCAAATAAAACTCTCACTCTATCCTTGCCATTCACCAGAGCTAAGGCTGTCTGCAGGGCCACATTCCCTTCAGAGCCAGTGCTACCTACCCAAGCCGATGCGGTGGGGTCAAGCTGAGGTGCAGTAGGCTTAGGCTGCGCTTCCTTACTTCGGGCAAGATTAGGACAAATGGCGCAGTGATGATTTCCCTTACAATTACTACAATCTACCTTAAGACGACATTTAAAAGATCTATGGCCTGGTTTTAAGCAACTAAAACACCTAGCATTCTTAATCAAAATTGTCTTACGCTCGTCCGGATCCTTCACTTTTTCACACTTCTCGGATGCGTGATTTTCTTTGCAGAATGCACACTTCATCTTAGCATCTCTTGTAGTAAGCAAGGAAGAGGCCGTTGGAGGTCTATCCTGCTGCCTTGGCCTGTTGAAATGCTGCTCTTGTCTTCTGTCTCCTTGCTGGGCTCGCTGCATGATGGGAAAATGTCCCTCCAGAACCTCTAGCTCCTTCTGAAAAGCTTCCAACATGTCGTCCAAGTTCCAGTCCATATGGTTCTTTCCAAATCGAATCATATTGATTCTCACGGACTCTGGAAGTTTCCCCATTAGAACAGGAACAACAACACTTGAGTAGGTCTCTTTGCTTACACCTAGAGCCTCCATTGCGCGAAAGCGTGTCTCGATCTGATCATGCAAACAACGCAATCTCTGCAAACACTTCTCATTGTAGACTGGAGCCATATTGATAAGGTCATTGATGTGGGCTCGTTTTATAACGCTAGGCTTCGCATATCTGCTTTTCAACAGTTCAATGGCAGACTCATAATCGGCGTCTGTAAGTGCAAATCCCGTCACGACGCTGCGTGCCGGCTCTTCTAGATAACTTCTTAAATATTTAAATTTGTCTACCTTGGCAAGTTGGCTGTCATCGTGTACCGCACTCTTGAACCCGTCCCAGAACTCTGGCCATTCTGCGATCTTTCCAGAAAACTTTTTCAATTCCAGCTTTGGGAGTTTTACTTTTCTACTGCAGATATCTCCTGTATTGACTGAGGATGTCATTGAATTTAGGCTCTCTCTGGAACCAATCCTTTCCAAATTTCCCGAGGGCTCTGGTTGGAAATTTGTCCCGGATTCCGATCTTAATGACTGTATATCCATTTCCTTCAAGGCATTCTCAAGCGAAATTAAGTTGTACGTAATTTTCTCTTTAATGTCGCTAGCTTCTTCTGCTTCTTTATCACAGGCATCGTCGTCTGCTTCTTCGATCATCAATTCAAAAATTTCACCATCTAACGCTTTTAAAACTTCTGCTTTGTCTTTTAGATCTGCTAGTAACTGTTGTAAACGTAGCTGATCTTTTTCCTCTTTAGCGAGAGCATCTTCCACTTTATTCAGGAGCTTTGTCGTAGTTCCGCGATGAGATTTCCTCTTCTTTTTTGTCTTCTCCAAATTATCCATTTTCGGTTCCCAAATTCTTTTACTCTATTTCATTTATCCGGCTCGGTGGACCATTAATGTAGAGAATATCTCTGCTTGTTAACGCAGGTTCAATAAATGATTAGAGTAAACTCTTAGAGAAAGACAATCTTTATGTTTTCAGAATTTTCTGCTCAATACAACTCAACGTACATCGTGAAAAATCTCTCTCTACGAATCCTTTTCGCTCGATTCAATTACCAGCTTTTATAGAAGCGAACAAGGAACTAAAATATATCTTAGCCAATCACAATCAATTTTAACTACTACTCTAGCCAATAAAAATTAAGAATACGATTGACGTAGTTAATCCTATAACAATAGCTTGCTTCCAGAAAATTCTGGCTGGATCCTTAATCTACTGTCTCGGCCTCAAAGTGAGGCTTTTACGTAAATTGCATAGTTCCGTAGTTATGTAACACAAGCATACACAATAAAAATAAACGTGTTGATTTAAGAATAATAGGTTAAGAATTTACTAGAATACCGAAGAAAGCGCGATGGGGATTCCCCGACAGTCAGTCCTCATTTTAGTCTTCCGTTTAAACAGCTCCCTTAATTACCCCAATGACAGTGGAGACAATGTTTCATCCATTCTTAAAAGAAAAAACCTCAAGCAAAATATGCCTTGCAATAAAGCAAGTTAAAAACTTCTGTTTGTGATTTAAGCCCCGGGCCTCGGAATATCTTTGTGAGTTAGTTGTTATTTGGTGTAGGCTTTTGCACAAGTGAATGTCCACTAATTCAGGCATAAGGCAAACTATTTACTGCAGAAGCAGAAAGAACATGCGCACATGTTTTTAAGGAAGCAAATTTTAATCAAATTATTGAATTGCGAAGTGTTTTTGGCTGCATTGCTTGATTCTGTGATTGTTGGTGATGATTTGATACCATTGCACGACAAGAGGTTTTTGTGTCAAAGTTTGTTTTAGGTACAAAATAGTAATTCATAAAGCATCACAAAGCATAGGATCAAAGTTGTTAAGTATTTAATTGACTTCAAATGCCGAAATTCTAACTGTTTGGATACTTTATGGTAGTTTCTTTCGATTTAACAAGTAAATCCATTCACGAAGATGGATATTCCGTGTAGGCCAGTAGTAATGCCCCTTTATATGATAGTCGAAACGTAACTTCCCAGTCGAAACGTGTCCGCGTTACTTCCCAACTTACATGCCCTAGAGACAGTAAAGCTGTCAAATTTCCCTTTTTTGTCAAAGTTTCCTTAGTCTAAATATTCAATCAGTTTCGATAAATTGGTGTGTTTGTCTGCCTTTTCCCGTGCGCTGGTTGTTGGCAACCTCGAACTAGTTTCATTTCCTATTTTTATTGAAGTTTATAAGGACTGTCTGTATTTCGGCAAAATTTGTATTACTGCCTTATAAATTTCCATTATCAACGTTCAAAAAGAACCGTTTGCCGCTAGCGATGTTTCATCTTGCCAGAATTTTTTTAAAATAATTGTTAAATGTGAATGAATACTGTCAGATCAAGTTCCTGCAACAAATTTTCAAAAACCTATTGATTTATTCTTTTTAGAGAACACCTTCCTACCTCTTCAGAGAACCCCGAACGGCTCTGGCTGGAAGCCATCTTCTAGCAGTAGTGACCTTTTCAAATTTCTTATGATATGTTTAACAGTCTGCTGGCGGCCGTAGCAACTGGTTGGATTAAAAACTTAGATAACGAGGGCGACACTAATTTTGTGGTAGAAATTTAAATCTGCTTCTCCTATCAATAGAATATATGATAGATCGGCAGCCATCAGGGAAGAAATGGTATGGATGACGAGGGATGGCTTCACAACATTACAGTTGCATTTTTACTATAATTTTGTCTAGCAGTATAGTAGGAAATTGAGAGGGGGAAGGGCAAATCAAAGACTCTTGAAAGAAGGCTTTACAAAAGCTTTTTGTTTAGCAAAAAAGTTGGATCAGTGGGCAAGCCCCACCTGGCTCCTTGCCGGCGGAGGCCCTGTATTAGGGCCACTAGGGTCGAGGACTTTCGTTTTCTCCTCCCAGGTTGGGAGAGCAAATTTAAATATTATGTTTGTAAGAGTGGAACTAACAGTTTTGAATGGAAATAACAGAGATATGACCACTTTTCATCGCACATTCCATCACAGGCCCGTTGGAACGGGGAGGGGGGCTGGGGGGCCTGGGCCCTCCCCCAATAATTGTCAAGCTGTAGTTTGTTTCCTTTATAACGGTGAACTGAATGAGAAGGAATTAAATGGGCAGCAGGACAAGCAGGACGTAGCTAGTGGGGTGTAGGTGGGTGTGACACCCCCAATATTTCACAAGATTGTCGGTAAATCCTCAAAATTCTTAGTTTGTCAGTAAAATCGTCTATCGGTAGGTGAAATAGCATCTAAGTTAAGTTTTTTTCATCTTTGTCTTCATCGGTAGATTTTACTCTCGATGACAAGTCCGAGACTAGAAGTTCGAGGCCCTACGTTCGAGGAAAATACTGTTATTGGGTCAGATACTGTGTTACAGTTTGTGGCATTAGCCAGCTAGCTACACCCCTCCCCCCAAAGAGAAGTTTCCCTGGCCTTGGGTTTGATTGATGACCCTCCAACCCCTAGTCTGGAACGTCAAGCTTCGCCACTGCTTATAAGATTTAAGTTTGCTGGAAAAATTGTGCTTGTGGAACGACTGTCTTTGTACATCAGAAAAGAGAAATGATTGGGGTCCCTTTTATTATTAATGATCCTCCGTCAAATGTGGGACGTGTAAGAAAAGTCAGAGAGTAAGGAACCTATCTATTAACAATAGATTTCTTCAATGGGTTGGCCATTCCAAGTTAGAAAGAGAATTAAAGTAGAAAAAATACGGCAAGGTGAGCTTTTTATCGTTATCAAGCCTGTTTGCTTAAGACAATCTGTCAAATCTCCAGCTGAATAAACAAAAAGGTAAAATAATTTTGTTGAATAAATAACTTGTTTTGATGCATAGACTTTTTTATTTGAAAGATGAGATAATTTCTTTGATTATAGCCATCATTTTATTTAATTTTGCAGCAATTACTGTTCGACTACTCACTAAACGATTCATTGGAGAGTATGATCCAGAGTTGGGTAAGATTTTCTATCAGTTGTTTCTTTAAATAGTCATTGTATGTCTAGCAGCTAAACTAATATAGCATAACTTGCAGCAAACCAAGATATATGGAATCGTGAAGCTGAGTTTCCAACTTCTCCAGAAAACATCTTTTTAAGATAGATTATGTTTCTGACATATTCGGCTCTGTCACAGTTTCGAGGACCTGGACCATCTTTGAAAGTTGTTTTGAAGGGACACTTCTTTTATCCCTTCCCCTTAGCCAATTCACTAGCAAACGGTAGATTTATTTTTCTTAGGATTTTTAAAGATACAGAGCTTATCGAAAGCTAAAAAGCTTTGAAGGCAGACCCTATCTAAATCTATCCTTAATCTTAGATAAAAATTCTGTAGATCCTTGACCTGTTCTTCCAGGAATTCCACTAAAATCCATTGATAAGCCTAAAAAGAGTTTTTAATGGAGTTCTAGGCGTCTCGTCAGAAATTTTGCTTGAATATTTAGACATTGGCATACAAATCGCTAAAGATAAGCGGAGTAAGTCGTGGCTCACTTTATTTTAAGATTTTTTGTGATGGCAAACGATAGCAAAGGGGACTTTTCGAGTTGCCAGCTGACGCCTTTAGGATGCAGTTCGAAATATGCAAGATAAGGCACATTGAAGATTGCTTGTTTTATTACCAGAACACCACCTAATTTTGATCTAATTCAACACTCTCTAACTCGAAAAGCTCCTTGATTGTAGTGCTTTTTCATCATTGATTAGCACAACACGTCGTGGTAGAATATGCTACTTTGTTCATCAAGTACTTACTATGAACTCAGTATGTCTTTACAACCTCTCAAGCCATAAAAAGCATCGTTTGAGTCGACGTTGTGGAACTGGATAATTGACAAAATAACATTTTGTTCCTGATTTTATTCGAATGTCGCCAACGTTCTTCTACACTTCATTAGGTCTCGCACTGACTCAGTGATGAAACAAGACTCAGTGATCATCATCTTTCAACATGAGATATCTAGTTTTCTTGTTTCCAAAGCCCAGAAAATGCCAGCCTTTGTCTAGACAAATATGTGATTTTTTTTATGAGACCAAACTGCTGCGTGTGGTAATAGGCGGACTTCACTTTTACTGAGCATAAATTGAGCTTGTGTAATGGGCGTGGCATAGACTATACCTTTATTATAAGATACTGTTCACACAGCCATTGCACTGTAGTTGCCAAATGCTGTTTGGTTGAGACCCTCAAATTCATTGCGAAGGAAGAGTTGTGTTGTGGGATCATTCAAGACCCCCAAACCTTAGATACAACGATCTAGGTCTACAAAAACCCATGAGACTAACACAACTAATCTTTGCAGAAAATCAGGGGACATTTCCTTATGACACGTCACATGTTCCACTTTATTTAGTGTGATATTAACTCAAAATGGAATTTCGAAAAAACCACGATATGATATTAATAATAAAGTGGGATCTGGGAGCCCCATGTAAACCGTCTGACCTGCTGTTGTGGAATTGGTAATCATAATCCATTTTGCAAACGCACTCCCCCTATTGTCTACATACTTACCCAAAGGAATGTATTTCAAAGATACCTTCTAGTTATCAAACTGTTTTCTAAAAGATAGCGACCTAGCTGCTAATCTTGATTTTTCTCTACAACTCGAGTCTCCTCAACAATTTTAGGCTTATTCTTATTACGCTTTTCTTGCAGTTGAAACCCCCGCAGAGCTATTTTCTTGTGTGAACTCTTTACTCTCATTTTCGCAGGAGAAACCTTTCTCTAAAATGTCTAGAACGGTTTCTAAAAATTCCATAAAGTAAAGTAGTTATGCCTTCACTTGATTTCTAGTATAACTACAGATTTCTGGTAAGTTAGGGTTTATTTTAAGAAATCATTCTTTTTGGTGATAGCTTTTAGGGGATTTCTTGCTTTCTGTTGGTCCAGCAAAACGGAAACAAGGTCTTAACTTCTAGCTGACCGTCGATCCCCTTTTTCTACGAAATACTTAGAATTCACAGAAATATCTAGAGTTTTTCATTAGCTATTTTTATAAACCCTGAGTGTAGCCCTGTTCTATCCTATCACCTTTACTCAAGAGAAAGAGTCAATAAATGGTTGTAGAAAGAATCAACTTGTTTATCGTCTCTGAGAATAATGATAATGTTTCTTCATCATTTATCATTGTTCCTTCGAGCTCTATTATTCATCTCACCAGCCAGAGGCCTTTGGGGGTTGAAGGCCGCGAATCTTTGGGCGGCGGGAATCATTGATGCCGTTTACTTAAACTTGAAATGCCACTCTTAAGAACGATGGATGTCTTAAATGTTAATAATGCATTCTCTCTTCTTGCTCATTATTTTAACGTTAAAATGGTTAAATATTTTGTAATTCGTATTCTCTTAAAAGTAATGAATGAAAAGGTATTGTTTTCATCTTTTACTTCTGAAAATTATTTGAAATGTCAACTTGTATACTTAGTAACAAAAATGAAAGTCACTTAACAAACAAAAAATATTAAAGAAATGGTATCCTGGTTTGCTTTCTTTTTCATCTTGCATCAAGTAGATAAACAGCTTTTAATCTAGTGCTATTTTTATTTAAAGTGGCTTAGCTTCTATCGAGGTTATTTGATAAAGTGCATAATGAGACTGAATTATCAGGAATGTAAGAAATTATCTAACAAACTACGCTAGGCAGTGCAAGATAGCCTGAAATATATACACATATATATATGACAGGGATGGTCAGTGTATATTTTAGAATTTGATTAAAAATGTTCTCTTCCTAGGGGTGACCCTGTTGCTAAAGTACTTTTAAGGGTTCATGTAATGGTAGAAAATTTGGGGGGTCTCAAATGCGAGAGAATTTTGAAAGACTTCCAATTTTTGAATAAAAAATAAGCACTTTTAACTTACGGAAGAATATTGTTTTTTATCTCAAAAAAATATTTTTTGGGTTAAAACTTTATACCCAACTTTGAGCCTCCCTATCCTTGACAGTACCCATAAGGAAGTAAGTCCTTGAGAAGGAATTAAAGTGTACGTATAGACACAAATATTATTCTTATATTGACAATTTCTTTTGGTCGAACTTTATCCCTACTAAAAGATTGAGACAGTAGCCCTTTGATACTCCTACCACAAAATGCTTAACTGACATTCCGTTAATAAATCCATTTATGTAAGGTTCAACTATTTGTATAATAAGCTATCTTTTAAAATCCCAATTATAAGGTTTGGGCCGAAATTTGCGGTCAGTTTGTACCAAAGTAACTGTTTCGTTAAACACACCCTTGGAATACATCAGTTGGCCACACAGACCAGCATACAAAGTAGGTTGTAAACATAGCATTTAGCACAATCAGCAATTTTTATAATTTTTTTTCAAAAGGATGTAGCATCGAGAGCTAAAATATGTTATTGATGGCAGTTGAGCCGTAGTAGGCCATCACAGAAATTTCCTTGCAAAAACTTTTTGCCACTTGCCAGTTGCCACCTAACCTAGGGGGTGTTTAGTCAGCAAATTTTCAAATTTGTCGGCAAATAAAGGATGTTTAGCCCATTTTGTCTGCAAATGGAACCTGGAAATCCCCCTTGTTCACATCTGCTAGTAACGTCCAAGGTAAAAAGTGTATAATTGGCCTTTACTTAACTGCTTCAAATTTAAATACACAATTTGTTAGGCCTTCTCGCCTACGTCCAAGACCCTCTCGATCGCAGATGTCCAGGAATAGATCTGCACTTCTACGACGGAGAGGGTGTTCCAATGTCTTAGTCTACTCTAAGTCCGAGGAAGAACTAAAGGCAAACAGAAGATTGGCTGTCTGTAAAGGGATTGCCAGTTATACTCGATTTCACTGTTGGGTAAACGGACTCATTGCGTGGGACATTTGAAACATTGCCATTTTCTTTCCTAGATAACTGACGGAAACACAGCAGCCAGGTGTACTGTGACCTACCTGTTTAAAAGCAATCTGTTCTGTTACTTTTTTATGTTGCTACCTTTGAGATGGCGGTAGATAACATTCCACCGTATTATGCATTAAATTAAATGCCTGCAACACCACACAAGTTGAAGTTGTCGCATTCGTGGTTTTAAGGCACTTTCCAGTGGATCTTATCTGTTATGTTTGTTAGTAAAGTTTGGTTATTTATTGAAAAGTTTTCTGTTATTAACTAGAGTATTAAGATCTTGTTATTTTCAATATGAATACTATGGTTATTGAAATTACTTTATCTTGTTTAAGAAACTGAATTTTATTCGAATTACGTGTTAATCCTTTTAGCTTAGAATGACATTTGTGGTTGATTTGCATTCATTTTCGTCGATATTTGTACTCTTGTTTCCTTATATTTTGTGTAATCGATATCTTCTCTATTTTATTATATCGAAATTATAATTTTTCTGGTTTTTTCTGCATAAGCTTGTTTTAATTGCTTCCCAATTCTCTTTTGTTGTCAATTCTTCGCAAATCACCTTTTTCCGGATTGTCTGAATTTTTACAGTTCTAACTTCTCTCATTTTTGTCGAGAATTAGTTTTCTATCCTAAAAGACATAATAGAAAATAACGGAACCACAGAACAAGACAACGGTTCTCCTGAAGGGTCACATCCACTTTCAAGAGATACTCCGCCCCCTCCTGGAGATGTCTTGTACATTTGTTCTCATTTCTCCGTTTAACCATCTTTTCTCAGTTTCTTGAAGACGTATCCTTCTAACTAAGCAGGAAAAGACCCTAATATGATTGTTCTCTGAATTTGAGATGTTTTTTAACTTTGTTTACATTATGGTGGAGAAAGCAAAAGTCCTCGCTGTCTCCAATGGTTTGAGTTGTGGAATTTGTCTAAGAAAGATCTTGACCTCTGACTTTCTTTCTCTAGAAACTTCGCTGAAATATATAACAAAGATCAATGGCGAAGAAATAATTACAGAAATAATGGATACTGCGGAAAGGGTATGTGTTTTTCTAGTTTTCTTCTCTTATCAAGAAAAGGAAATTTTCCTTTTCCATAAAAAGTCATAAAATATTGCACTATCTGGTCCAGCTTGCATGTGATTAAGCTGGACCAGGGTATGCAAACGAATTGTCAAAGTCGTGAGTCACTACAACCAAAGTTCTATGTAGAATGCAAGAAGATATTTATCCTTCCATTAGAGACGACGGGACAGTGTTGTGGTGCTTCGGTGTCTTTTATATTGCTAACTATTCTTTTGAAACTAATCAACAGCCACGTCGAAAACCTGAACGTTTGGGATAAGGTCGGATTCAAGCCGTTCAAACTAGTAAGGGGATTTATTTTTGAAACCAATTTCGAAACAGGATCATATTTTAATGCCCTAGCATCTCTATGGGTGGAAAGGGCGGAGTAAGGTCACGGCACCAATATCCGCTTAAAAACATGTTTATTAGACAGTGTTACTCGATGCAATAAATCATCTTGCTGGTCAATGACATCCACAAAATGTTGGCCTAGGCTTTCCAATCACGGAATGCTGCTCTTTTAATTACGTTTCCTTAATTTGCTTCCTAGTCGGAGGAAGCAAGGCTGTTACCGTGCGCTCAATGGGCAGATTGTTTTGTCTTGGTATTTTCCATTGTGGACAAGGAGAGCTTCATTGAAATGACTCGTCTGAAGAACACAGTTGATCGAATTGTTAATTGCAATTTGAAGCCTATGGTTATATTGGGAAATAAACTCGATCTTGATGCTGTGAGGGATGTACCGTACGAGGCTGGAATACAATATGCCAGTGAAGTAGGCTGTCCTTACCACGAACTGTCAGCAAGGGAAAGTTACGTAGATGTGGAAAAGGTTTTCGCAACCATAATAGAGGTGACAGTTCGTTGTTCGATGATAAACCAGCTAAATAAGCTATACATACCATCGACACAAACGCACAGGGAAACAAGGGAAAGAAGGACGTCTTTTAAAAGTATCGTAAAAAATTTTACTCGACAGAAAGCTATCAAAGAAGAAATTAAAGAAATAAAAGAAACTCAAATCGAAGAGAAAAATGAATCGAACAACACTAATCATAAAAGGGAGTTTAAAGATATGCCGCAGGCAAGGACTCGACAAAGGAGCAGTACGTGCACGTTTTGAAGAAATAAAGGAATGATGTATTTTAGGAGGTATCCCCCGGCCTAGATATTGCTGGTGGGCGACAGCTATAGGAATATTGTTTATAAGTATAACATAAACTAGGGGACAATGGTGCAGTTTATGTGCCCCAGAATTCGAGTAGAAAGCCCAGGGCTGACTATGTATTATACGTAGTGGTTTTTCTTATAGTACTCGACGCATTGTAAAATATTTTGTGAATGCTAATTAAAGCTTAGAGAAGTATGAAAAGGAAATATCTTACAACATTCGTTATAACGTCTTTAATTCTCCTTACGGTTACCGTTCATGGTTTTCTCATTGGCTAAAAGGGTAGAAGGCTAAGACACCTGAACCAATTCAAGACATTCAGACTTTAGAGAAAACAAGCAATAAGGAACTACAATTTTTCGTCTATCCTAGAAAGGGTACCAATTTTTTTAGACGGAAAAATCATTGAAAGTAGGTGAGGGTGGTTATAGCTTTCCGTATGCCTTGCTAGCACGACTTTTTTGTAAGAAAAAGAGAGACAGTTGAAAGGGGGACTCGATCAGAAGATTCAATATCAGTTAAATGCTAGCATGGAAAATTACTGACTTTCAATAGGTCATACTATTGCAGGTCGAAATCTATCACTATCAAAATGACATTGTTTATTGACAAGCTCATTCTATCAAATCAACCTCCGACTTTCGGTAATTTTTGGGTGTGCAGAAAGATCCTTTTTAAAAATGGCGACAAAACTAATTCCTAACCAATTCTGTGTGTTTGCACTATTGGCACGTACAAATGGGGAAAATATGATGTAATTGTTACTTCAACTTTTCTTCGGTTTTTCTTTGGTCTTATTCCCAGTGATGGTTATTCATTAGGGAACGTAGGCTGTTTATCAATTATGTTGATACTCTCAACGCCTGTAGCCTTGAAACATTACAAAAGTATTTCCGACACCAAGGTTTGATGCTGCAAAGTACTTATTGCGGATGCTGAAATGATACTGTAGAAAAAAATATATACGTTTTATCGAATTCACTTATTGCTATTCATAGGCTAGACTTACTCCGTGAGCCTCTGTTTCGCTACTGCCTCACTTGACGGATCTGTTGTAGCGTCCGTCAAGTGAGGCAGTAGCGAAACAGAGGCTCATGGAGTAAGTCTATTCATAGGCTTCATAGAGTTCAAACATTTTTAGCAACTACGTGACCCTATTACAAACAGAGGCTTTCTGCAATTCAATGAAATTCATTCTAATATTTTTTACATTCACTTGGTGGTCAAGCATATGAATCTACCCTCGATATAACATATACAGAAGACTAAGATATATTACTTGCATTGTTAGAAAAAAACCAAGCACACTTGGAGAAGCTGAGACAAAATACATAGGAAAAGGATATTTTATTCAACAAAACATTTCCCAATTCTACATTCATAACTCTAGAAAAATCCAAACTTTATTTCACAATGGAAATCGCGTACCCCATTGCTGGCCGCTTTCAGCTTTTTATTTGTATTCCCAGCAAAATTAAATGAAAAAAAAACTTAATTTAAGAATATACGGATACTATTTTCATCTTTATTTAAAAATCATCAAGTAATACATCAAGGAAAGATCCATCAATGTATCAGCTGAGGTTAACCATTTGATTGTGTGGAAAGTCTCTTGTGAATTACTGGACCTTCTCTAAACAATGAACCAATCACTTTCCAATTTTGCAGTTTCCATTCTGTACAAATATCTATCTAGTATTTCTTGCCCTCTACTGTACTGTAAAATTACTCTATCTTCTATATAAGTTGTAACTTTAGAAAAACATGGCCTTTAAAAAACTGAGATGATATCTTATTTTGAATGTCTGTCAAGTGGCTATCTTCCTTTTACTATCCAGCATATTTATACTTTGTCTCTACCTTTGTGTATTATAATGAAAAAGCGCTTGCAAGGGAGTGAGGCATTTGCTAACTTGACGAGCTACTTTGGGCTGCCTCTTCACCGCATTCGATATCTTTGGACTCTTCTGCATGGTGAATTTCTTTGCTTTCAGCCCCTTCTTCTGTTACAGTACAAGCTTTTTCGACAGTCTGTTTATCTGATCTCACATCATTGTCTGTCTTCTTGTCCTCATTTAGATGGAATTGGTTGAGCCCACGCCGATTTCTTGCCAGCTCAATTGCAAGAAATTGAATTCTGGTAACTAAAATAATTGACAAACATATATTAGCAAAGAGCTTGTGTTTTTTTCTACTTTTTTTAAGTTTAGCAAAACATTTTGATCAATAGTGGTATCAAATTCTACTAGTTATGAAAATAAAAATGTTCAACAAATTTGATGTTCAACTAATTTTGACTTTTATCTAAAGGTGATCGAGTAGAACATTTAGAAGACTAAAAGTTTTGAAAAACTTTGATTATCCACTTGGGTAGTTGGTTACTACAGTTTATGATACAAAGCAATGAAAAAATTTATACCAAGCTCTGTGTTATCTTCCAAATACCCTTTAGAGCAATCCATTCTAAGAAAAATAAAAGAACTTAATTTAACTATTAACAAATTTGAAATGTTTTTAAGTAGCTGGAATAATATAAAACATTTAAATTAGGTAGTCACATGAGTGGATTAGATTCTTTTCCAGTTTTCTTCGCATGTATTATAAGTACAGAGGTTTACCAATAATGATAAATAATTCAAAGAGCATCAATTAGTAAAGCTATTAGGGTTCTTCTAATGACAACTGAATAAACAGAACTTGTAGCAGAGCATTACAGTAGTCTGTTCACAATCACGCCTGACATTATTCTGACAACATTCACTCCTGGCTGTGTTAACTCCCTTCTTATTTCAATCTGACCATGGCACATAACCTTTATGCACAAATGTTTATTCATATTAGGGGATTTTTTCATGAAGCAGTCATGACACTAGTGAATACTAAATGATGATTAAAAGGCAATTAATAAAGAAATTTGAAAATGGCTTTGAAGAAAGCAAACAATTTACAACACGACTCAAGCTTTTCATCTGACACTTTTTAGTACTTAAAGCATCAGAATAAGTGCTGAAAAAATCAAAAAAGAAAATATATACCCGGTTATAGGCATTTGAAAGTAATTAGATAACTATACTGTTCACATGCTGGCATTTTTCTGATTGGCCTATGTTTTTCTTCTCAAATGATTCCTTAACCTCAACTGGTTGCTTCTTTATACTCTCAACTTCAAAAAGCTATGAGTTCAATAGGGTTAGATCTACCTTTTTATCTATAATTCAACAAGTAGCTGTTGCATGAGAATGCCTGTCAGGCTTGCTTCATCAGAAGCAAGAGCTATCAAATAGGGGCAAAAATTTCCATAACTGCCAGCATTTTGATGCAGGGAAACCAATTTTGGAATAAAAAGTCAAATAACCTTTTTCCCACCCATATCTTATATCCACACCCCTTTTTTCACTCCCATCTTATATCCTCGCCCCGTTTCACACCCTCATCTGATATCTTCCCCTCTGATTTTTCATCTTTAATGGACGTATTTCACAATGAAATATCTCATTAGACTAACTGTATTCTGGTCTACCGTTAAAGCCACCAATTGAGATCATTTCAGTGTCTAAATAAATTGAATCAAGGTTTTTTAACTTGTTTTAATTTGAACTTAGTAAGCTTGAATAATTCCACTTCTTTTGGCTGTTTGGCTTCTTTGCTGCATGTTGAAATAAAATGAAAGTTCATTTAGCATACCTGAGTAGAGTTCCAAAATTATAATCTTCTACTTTGCCTTTAAACAGCTCACAGAATGGTCTCCATCTCTAGAAAAGTGAGCTAAAAGGCTAAAATTTATATTGAAGTCTTAACAACCTATATCAAAGACTAAATTATTAGTAATCGATTTAAACACTTTTAGCAAAACATTTCTTATTTGGTTATAGTAGAAAAATCTGTTTTGGCTCCAGGAATTATCAACCAAAAGTTTTTTCAATTTAAAAACCAGTTTCTTATTTAGTCAGCTACAAATCCTTTTGAAAAGATTCTGAGGTGCTGGATACTCTATGCTTAAGAATTATTTCTTGTTTACAGATTTTCCCCCCATGGATAGTTTTCATTAATTCAAACACCCACATACATTCATAGCTTTGGAAATTTAACACATTTGAATATCAAAACAAATAAATTTTATGACAGGTTCATAAAAGAAAATCAAAATATTTGATTTTTCTCTTCTTGATGAAAGGTATTTTTTTAAAAAAAATGGCAAAACCATACAGGAAGCGGTTTTTGCCTACATTCAAAAATATTTTTTAACTATTCAAGATCTGGTATGAAATGTTTTAGAAATGGTGGCTAAAGCACAAAGAAAAAGTTGCTTTATTTTTAATTCACACAATAATAAAGAAAGAAATTTAAAAAAGGTATGCCTTGAGAGGAAACTTACTGCCTTTGATGTTTCCGTTTTCAAACTCTCTATATCAACAATGTCAACCTAAAATATAAAAGCAATTTAGACTGCAAACCTGAAGTAAACCACTACCAAACACTATGGTTTACTTGTGAATCAACAGAATACTGAAATGAAAGCAAACATCTCTTGACTCCTTGTTGCCTTATCATTACAAGGCATACTTAGAGTACAGGGCAAATAGGAGATGATCATTTTACCAAGAAAAAAACTTGATGGGTTCCCATGACTTTCTTTACAGCCGTTCAGCCTTGAAAACGACACAAAGCTTTCCTCAATAAGTAAATAATAGAAAATAAAACTGTTGTTTGTTTTTACTTTGATTTAAATTTTACAAATGTGTAGAGAATTTCATTTTATTCACAAAAAAACAAATCAGGTCAGAAACACCATACCTTAAAGTTTTTGAAATATCTTTTGAACATTCTATATATTTGGTCATCATATCTGAAGGAAAAAGCAATTCAAATATACAAACTATGAATGGTTTTAAAATTGTTTGTAAAATTATCTGATCTGATACAATATCTCAACCAATAAAATTATCACAATCCTATAACCATTGATCTATTTACAATGATTAAAATTTCCAGGAATATAGCTTTGATATTTCATAGTTTTTTAAATTAGATATCAGAAATAAACAAATGAGCAAAAGTGATAATAAAGATAGAAAAGCTGAAATTTACTTTGTGAGTCTCAGCTTTGATGGGTCAAAGGTGCTGATAAGCTACAAATAATTGGAGAGAAATGTTAACATTTTGGATCAATTCAACCCAAAATGGATTTAAATCAACTTTATTCCAAGAATAATCAATCAGTCAATCAATCAATCAAAATCTTTATTAATGTGTCAAAAAATATTTAGCTTACAAGCTAATTGGGGACACAATGAAAAAAGTACATGAAGTTAAATTAGAGCATAAAATATGAAATTACAGTACAATTATTAAAACATAAAAATTTCTGAAAATCCTAAGTACAATAAAACATAATTTAATTATTTATAATTAAATTAGATAAGATAATTTTAATGACTACAAAGTCTAGAACTTAGTTCATGTTATATGTTTAATAATGCTATGCAAGAAGCATAAAGTATTTTTTTAAAAAACCTTTTAGAAGGACTATAAAATCATGACACAAAAATTCACAAGTACAGGTTCTCAAAATAATTACAGCCTTCCATTACTTATATACAAATAATCTTTGGTCAAATTGATCAAAATAACAAACATTCATGCAGTTATCACTTTGTAGACATTTTGTAGACAGAAAATACTTAACATATGTTTGTACATAGTATATGTTTGTTACCTTAAAGTGTGTTTCTGCATACTTGAAGGTCTTGACTGCCCACATGTATTCATATGAAGCCTATAATTAGAAAATAAATGAAAAGAACCTAAGTTTACATAAAAAAATATCTTTTAAACTGCAAAAAACTTTAGTTGAATAGGTTTATTCTATTTTCTATAGAAAGAACAAAACTCTGAGTTTATAATGAAAAAACAAGCATATGGCTCACATCATTTCCAAACTGTGAAGCATCCATGCTCAGCATATTTGCAGCTTTGTATGCATTTTCAACTCCCTAGAATGATAAAATACACACTTCAAATTCAAAATTTGATCAAATATATACATATATTAAAAACCTCTTTACCGTATTAATAAATCATTTCTCAATCAAGTGGGCCTTCACAAATTTTTACCTTCTTAGCTTGTTTGTTTTATTCGAGTTAGCTCAACAACTACTCAACAACTAGACTTCAACTACTTTCTAGTAGAGATCAGCAAAGGTTTTTTCCAGTTATTCTAAAAAATAACCTGCTATTGCCTGCAAATATAGTGTGGAATCTGTGTATGTTAAACCAGGTTTATAAGACATGGACTATCAATCTTTCATTGAATTTCACATATTGGTGTGAGAGCTACAGGGATTCCATCCTGGTTACAAACAAATCTAAGGAACTAAGCTTGCAGCTCAAATCAGACTCACTCAAGCCTCATATGTTTCCAAGAAGGGTTTCTTGTAGTCAGAGATTGCTGACTACATTAATTCCAGAGATTAAGAGTGGGGACACCATTTATCTTAATTGAATATATATCTGTTCTGGCTTCGAGATACTCCAGACTGCAAAGTTTGGGTATAATTTTTTGCTCAAACCCCGTCCGCGCATTTTTGCAAATGGACTTTCGTGTGAATTCCGCGCATAGCCTAATCTCAAGCCCTAAAAGTGCTATTTAAAAATGAAGAAGTCGCGGCGAAAACAAAATAAAGGTAATGGAATTTTGGAAGTCCTGAAACTTCAAACTTGTTATGTTGATGATGCAACGGAGAATAAAAGAGTAATCATGTTTGCAAGTGTTTGTTTGCAAAAAAATTTAAATATGGGGAGATAGAACTCATTTCAAATCACAGTATAGTAATCAGTAGCGATCGTTGTAATTGTAGGCATATTATGAAATATTGAGCATAACATAAACATGCTCGATGATGTTTTTTAGAATCCCAGTTGTGATATTATTTATGATACAAAATGACAAGACCAATTTGACAAGGCTAATTTTTTTAATAAGACATAACACATGTCTCACCGAAGATGAAATAAATTCTTCCATTATTCGATTAGATCTTTAATGTAATGCCCTTTTTCCTTCTTCACCTGCCAGTTCCTGTGAGATTTCAGTCCTCGTGTTTTTATGTTGCTACGAAAATTGAAGTGAATTTCTTTCGATAACGAAGCTTATTTGAAAACGAGGATCCAAATTGAGACTAACAAGGTTGAATGAAATTTATAAAATCAAGGCCACTGCCGAAGGGGGGGGGGGGTGGGGGTATTGCAAAATATTTTGCAAAACATCAGAGCTTTTTAAAAAGTATTTTGTTATGATTGTTAAAGTCTCCCTTACCCCCCTTCCATTTTCCAACCTGCTTCGGAGCCCATGTAAAATACTTCATTGATAATTTTAAAAAAGTTTACTACATCGATGACTACTGCGTGAATTAATTAGGTTCGAAAGAGGATTCGGTTCGAAATTGAGCTTACAGGTTATTACTCTTATGCATCCGTATAGGTGCTCAATAGATGTGGGGGGGGGGCGGAAAAAGCAGGGGAAGGGAATCTCAAAAAACGATTTGATCTGTGAGAGGTTGAAATAAACAGGGCTTAAGAAAGTCTAAAACAATATCAAAATATATCTCTTTATTGGATAAAGATGCAAAATACAAGAGAGAACATTGACTACAGATAAACAAGACTCTGGAGGATTTGGGGGAAAAAAATTTCTAGGTCAACCTTCAAGGTTGATTTCCAAAAAACTAACTAGCGGGGGTCTTCAATAGAGAGAGGGTCACAAACAATTGAAACAATTAATAAATGGGGGAAGGGCGTTTATAAAGCACCCAAGGAAACCTTCTGTACCTTGTCAATCTCTTTTCCGCTGAAATACTTGATTTCCCAGGGCTCCGAGGCAAAGTAGGGAGAGGACCAAGACACACTTATAACACTAATATAGTTAGCAAATAGATTTAATACCAAAATGAAAATATAATAGTTTGATTATTAAAAATACTTTTAACACGTAACGAAGAATTTTGTATAAAGAGCCATTTTGTCTTGCATTAGAGAAGATTAATCCCACCCCCAGCCCCGGCATGGAATAACCGTCCGTGTTGAGCGATACAGCCGACAGTTCCTGTTGGAACCTTGTATATTAAGATTATCCAGAGTATCATGAGTGACAGCAAGTCTAGACCTTCTTGTCAATCATTAAAACTTTTCGTTCCGTTGGCTCAAAAATGGTTTGAGACGAGTCAATAACAAGTACATCATCCATTTTGAATTTGTTTAAACTAGAACATTAAGACACATCTCACTTGCAAGATTTACATACCTTCTCCAACTTCTACCAACTTAATGCCTTGCAATTGTTAAAATGCAGGACCACATTAAGAAAATTTGAGGCCCTGAGCACATGATATCACGGGGCCCCCGTTTGGATATCCGTACCTCAAAATAACACCATAGTGAATATTTTTTTGTAAAACAATATAACAAGCAAGAGGATTGTGTTAACATAATAACACATATCTTGAGATTAAATAAGAAAACTGTTCAAACTGCTTTGTGTTTTGTCACTATGTTCAGTTACTATGTTACAAATCGAATCGAGTGAATACAGGGAAGGCGCCACTTTTTCAAAGCAAAAATTTTTTCACCGTATTTTTTATTATTTTTGAAGACAAAGTATGAAATAAAAAGAGAGCAAACTGTTTATATACTGCTTGATTTTCTTATATCTATTTACTAACTTGATTAAGTATATTCAATGTCTGCATTTTGGATGTGTAAACATGGCCTACTGAAAATACTCGAGACAAAGGCGATGCACATTTCTGTTCAGGAAGCAAAATTCTCTCAATGAGTCCATACAACAGCTTCTTGCTATTCACATCGATGTGCACTCTGAACCAAAGGTCACCCTTTCTTTCTTTCCCCAACGTCTGTCTCATCCCCTTCCAAATTTTTCCTAAAATCAATAATCAATGCCTTTTCCGAGAATCATCAAATTGTCTAGTCTGAGCGGTACAGAAATTTGCTAAATTTCAGTCTGGGAGATGCATTTGAAGCCGTTCAAAAATTTTCTATCGCGTCGAACGCAACCATGATGGCTCCTGCTATGTTACTAAACCTGATTCTTTGGGCCTCAGGTCCAATTTCATGGCCCCCGTCTCTGGAATAAATTGCAAATGGGTGCAGGGGTGCACATTTTTTAATCCCCTTAATTCTTGCCTGCACCCCAGTAAATTTCCCGCACATCTTAGAAGCATTGTCACATGGTTGTTCTGAAGTGATAAAGTAATGTTATAAAGGCTGCAGATGGGCCAGACCCAAAAGCAGTGGCGGCTCTTGCTAATGGGCATCTGGGGCAATGCCCCCTCACAAAAATTCAAAAGTAATCTATGATATTCATATTTAATTTTGAAGATAGTCTTACTGTGGTTAATTATATAAGTTTTTATCTCTTCTAGAAAAAGCTCCTTGCTATCCCGTCTCGTCCTTAGCCTCGCTTCTGGCCCGCTAGTGCCTTGAGCGATGATGTCATTCTACTGGCAAATTTTGTTTTGCCCCTAGCCGACATGCGCACAAGCTAATTTTCGACCTCGAGCATTGCGAAACGCGGCCTGTGATTGGCTTATTTGGAGGCATTCGGGGCAAGAAAAATTTTGCCCATAAAATGACATCATCGCTAAACAACAACCACATCTATATATGCTTTTTCTTCTGCGCTCCATGACGATCAACATCGAACCATGAATACAGTGACAAATTTGCAAACTCGACCTTTCTATCGATGATCGCAATATTGATGGTCTGCCCTCCCAACTGTGAAAGTCACGAGCCGCCACTGCCCAAAAGTAAATAAATTTGTCCAAAAATTGGATTTTGGTCATAAATCCTTTGCGAAAAATCCTTTGCGAGAAGGGCCCTGGGGACAGTGTCCAGTGTGCCCTGTGGTTAATGCAGCACTGAGAAAATGTGAGAGTTTCGCTAAAAATATGTAGCCAATCACAAACCTTAAAAAACTATAAACGTGTTAACGTTCCCACGACGAAAATCGCATAAAAAAGAATCAGAACTTTTTCGCCTGAATTCCCTTTGAAAAGTCTATGAAATCGAACTTCGAAGGAGAAGATTGATTTTTCCCGTAATAAGTTTCTCTTAAAATGTGAACATGAACAATTTTTTACTTTAGTTGTAATCTTATTAGTTACATGACCCGTCTTTTGCATGTATGTTAACGATTTCCCTCCTTTGTGAATTGATGTGCTACTTTAAAAAATTGCGCCCTAGTACCATTTTTTGTTAGCTTCCTCCCTACGTCGCTGGCCGGAACTCCGGATAACATTTCACAAGAAGTTTCACAAGTTTCAATAAATTAGAAATATCACAGAAAGAAACGTAATAACTTGCCATTGAATTATTTTTATCATTCTTGGTCGAAATTGGAAAAGGGGGCTTAGAGTAATGAAACGTCTCCTTCCGTGCTTCCCTGCACTAAATCGGCGCTCTGCGCATGACAAATACACTTAACCTGTCCTGTTGGAAACGGTAGCGCCAAATTTATGTACCCAATGATGTTAGCGGCAAATTAACGATCATAGTTGGAGAGGTAAGTAGCTTCTTAATGTTCAGAGAAAAGATATAATGTAACACAGACTTTGTAAAAAACAAGGATGCATGTAAAACATAGTTGGCCATCTACCAATGATGTACCAAAAATCGACTTCTTCGTTGTTGGGGTTAGGCCTTTCCCAATATCGTTTGTTGGTGAGGAATTTTTGGTTTTTAAAAACTGGAAAGCACAGGCGCAAAAGGCATATGGAATATATATAAAAAATGTATAAACAATATTTCTTAAAACAGTGCCCGTTAGTTTAATATTTTTGTTTCCAAACTCGTTTAATTATGTTCCTTTCACGGCGGGAAATGATTAGGCCTAATGAAGTAAGTAGGCCTTATTATATAACAACGATCTTATCAACAGTCGAGATTCGAGACATTGCTTTTTGAAAGAAGACCTATTTTATCTTTTCAAATTGGAAAATAGACGGATAAGCTAAGTTAAGAGGTAATTTTTGCTATTTTTTTCGCTTCATAACGTCTCGTGATATTTCCATATTTCCAAGAGATTGGTGGGGCTGTATCACTCAAAAAAGCAATATCCCCTGGTACTTTGCCTATCTAGCGAAGATGCCCAGTTTTCACTATTGTAACCAAGTAGAATCAAATTCTCTCTGCACTACCTGTACCATAACTCATACTCCAAAGTACCTTTCAAATATATTTGTAAGAACTTCACTGCTGTCCAATGACTTTGTAGTGGATTGGATAAATTCTGTGATAACTTGATGACTCGCCGACAAAGATCTGGTCCTGTGGATGTCATCAAGTATATATATTAAACTACCAACAGCCTCTCTGTATAGCTTGGGATCACACTTTCACTGGTAAGAGAAGTCAAGCTTCTACTCGGAAGGTTTGGCTCTTGGTTACAATTTGAAATCTCCCTAGGATCTTTGAGAAATACTTCTTGTGTGACATATTTTCCAAACTATATCCCTGTTCAAATTCTACACAAATAGATGACAGTTTTCCCAGGACTTTAATTCTTAATTTCTTAAAGGAAGCATCAACTTTGTCTCATTCCTAATTTTTTTTCCACTTGCAGCAAAAAATATTTCATCAAATATACCATTTTCTTATCAACATATAGACTTGATGTGAAGGAAGTCCACCATGTTTTCAAAATTCTTGAAAACTGAGATGTGAAAATTTCTGTTCTTTATGATTCATCTTCTTCTGGAAGGCCCTTTGTAATCTGATAAGAGCAAGAGAAATTCCTGTTTTGCATCCAAGCCTCTCTTTGGGCATTTCTTTATATCAGTTTTCAAGAAAATCAGTTTTTCTGGAATTTGTGTTTGAGCCAATGAAGATCAGATTATGTAATACTGGGCCAAATTAATCAAATATAATTTTGAATGTCTGATAATCAGGTAGACCACTGTCAAACTTTAAAAGTTTCTGATAATTTTTAAAATTTTCAGCTGAAAAGTATGGTAATTGCTCTTGATTTTTCTTCTGGATCTAACTGGATCAGCTCCTGATTTTTCTTCTTTAATTTGTTGTTTTTGGGTGGAAGTTTCTTTATTCTTCCTATCAACTCATTTTCATTGCTTGAAATACACAATTTGCAATATGCTGCCTTAATCCCTTCCTCCTCAACTGTCAAATCCTGCTGCAAAAAGGATCCATTTATAGCAAAACATAGGTTCTCAAGCATGGAGGTAGTATTTTGAAAATTTGCAGACCTGTTTCTTGCTTAAGTGGTCGCTCTGATTTTTTCTGTGTTCTAAGTTTGTTCTTTGGGACAATCGTATAAATGTTATTCCTGTAAGTATCACAGTCTCACCTTCGAAGTGCTTTGAGCATTATCTATTACCTGCACCTGGGTTGTCAAAAAATGTTCAAGATATCATATGCATAAAAAAAATGACACAGTTCTTGCTATCCCTTCTCTTACTGTTTGGAATAGAATAAAAGGAAAACTTAGGGTTTTTTGAGCTGTTACTGAAACATTCAGAAATTCAGCAAATGAATCCACCAAGAATGACTTAAATCTTTTCCTCCATTGACATCAAGCCTGCTTGCTTTGTCAGATTGCCATTGGTGGTCACAGTCAAATTCACACCATAAAGATTTTCTGCAGCATTGGATCCAAGGCAAGAGTTTTAAAAAAACTAGGGATAGGCTGTTCAATACAATCTGTATCTTTTTCCATAAGATATTCAATGATTTTACAGTTGGCAATAATTTTCAAACTTTGTAAGATTGTCACAGAAAATATAAACAAATCTCCACAGGTTTGCACTGTGTGCTCACAACAGATGACGTAATAAGAGAAAAGGTCTATTGATGCCAGATCCAGTTCTGGCATCACCAGGCAATTATTTAAAAGGAGCAGGCCTTGTCAGGGTCAACAAAACAGGTGCTCCCCAAACTGAGCACCTTTGACTTGTCAGGCACTTGATGGCTCAATGTAATAGCTTCCTAGTTTATTTAGTAGTCAAAGATAGTTGAAAAATTGAGGTTTGTTTTCCCAAAGTGTAAGGAGTGCATTATGTTAAAACATGGAGATTTGTTTGAATTTATTGATGATTTGTGTGAATTTTTGTAATAATTATATATAAATATAATCATAAAAACTAATCTTTGCTGAAGTATGTCCAAGATGAAAACTTTGGTCTAATAAACAGAATGTGAACTTCTAATGTAAACAAATAGCCCATGTACAGCTATCCCATTGATGCTACACAAGTCTGTTTGCATTTCAGTTCACAGAATGTCAAAAAAATATGTTGCCAAACACTACCAAATATCATTGAAAAGAAATTTGGTTTTTGCATCTAGCTTTCAGCAGTATAAACTTGCTTGGCTCTCAATCAATCAAGCTCCTAGAAATTTTGTAGATGTGTGTTGAAGTGCTTGGTTGAGCCCATAATTGTCCTTGATTATATCAAAATATTGTTAACAAGGTATTATCATGAATGACCAACAAGTGAAAAAAGATTTTCAAGATTTATATACTTTTCAATATTTTTCTAAATAATACTCCTTACTGAACCATGCAGCTTGTTTCTGTTTCTAGTGCTTCAGAAGAACTGCTAAATTCTGCATGTCATTTAAATATTCAAAAGTCTGCTACTTATTCTAAACCAACAAATAATATATATTCTTGTTACAGGTAAGGAAAATCTATTTAATTTTTTTAAATGGAGCAAGTTGAAGAACACCAGAGTGTAAATAATGAAGAAGCCGAAAATTCTGTCATTGTCAATCAACAAGAAGGAGGATCTACAGATGACCGTGCATATATAGATGTTGAAGCTATTACAGTTAGAGGTGATTTCCCTTGTACCTGCTGTTTTTTATAGAAATTATAAGATGTGTTTGTAAGAAAGGAAGAGCAAAACAAGAATTTAACTCAGTTCCTAAAACTCTCTAATACGACCAAGCCCACTCTCTATCTGGGCCAACAGTAAGTGTTAGGAAGAACATAAAACTTTCCAATTCTTGACTGCTCTGTTGAAAGAGATGTCAAACTCTTGTAGGGAAAATAGGTGTATAATTGAGAGAGTGTAGTGGTATCCTGTTGAAATATTTTTCATTTTCTGATTAAAATTTCTTACTAAAGTGATGCTTATTTCATCCTATATTTTTATAGTATCTAAAGCTTGTCATATGTTTAAGCATGATGTTTAATGAGGTTAAGCTTAATTCGTTAATTGTTCTTCTTATTTCTGTTATATAGAGGATGTCATCAAAGATGTTGTCGATCTGACAAAAGATAATGCTACTTCATTTGTCGATTTAACAAAAGAGGATACTCCTCGTCAGGTAAAACTCATAAAGTCCTTTGTGAACATGCTAACAATACAACTTTTAAAAATGAATTAAGAACCTTGAGCTTATTGATATGTATGTAAAACTAAGAAATTGCCATATTTTCTTGAGTAGGAGTCATCGTTTTGAAAAGTTAGATAATATGATAATATAGCATTGGCTTAAAATTTCTCAATCCAAGTTGAAATGTTTTTTGTTTCACTTGAAACTTGAAATGCATAACATCAACGTTATGATTGAAAGTAAAAACTAGGTTTCAATATCTTCTTATGTTCAATTTCTCTCATAATCTTGGATTTACAACACGTTATAAGTCCGATTTACTGAAGTATCTTGAATTTTTCTGTTTGAACCAAAGAATGCCATGGTATGTATTGTATATAATACACGCTCAAGGAGTCTTTCCTCGGTTTACAATGTAGATTGGAGAGCCTTACATAAGCGGTTGTGCTTTTAGAAGCACAGCTACCTTCAGCCTCTTTTAAAAGAATGACAAAGGTTATATATCTATAACAAAAATAGAACAACTTTTTTGTATTTCTGTTTTGTATATTTAAGTGATGTGGCATTTGACATCGTTTTATTAAAAAACCTTTTACCTAAGAACTTGATATTTCTCTTGCAGCCGCTAAGGAGAGCAAGAGGTATGTCCTAGCATCATTTGTTCTCCTTTCCTCGTTACATTTTTCTCCGTGGTGGTTCTTGCTAATAATATCATAATTTCTGATTTACTGTAATCCAGTTATGGAACCTAGGAATTCTTCTAAGCCTTCATTAAAGTCGCCTGCTCCCCACAAACGTTTTCCAAAGCTTTATCTTGTTCCACAATCTGTTTGTCGTCGCTAGAGTGGTGCGTCTGTTACAAAGGCCGCTTATTGTTTGATGCAGTTTGTGCTGTTTGTAATGCAGCTCTCACCGTTGTCCATCTTAATTAATAGTTTTTATGATATTATGGTATATAAGCAGATAAACAGCACTTAAAAACATTGTTTTCTTTTATCCTCCCACCTCCACTTTTGTCTGGTATTACAAATGTCTGGCATGAGTGAAATAGTGAAACTGCCTTGACCAGTGGCTGATATTTTCCACTATTTCGATAAAAAAATGATTGAAAACAGACAGTGCTACTTGTTGCCGAATGAGTACAAAACTGTGATACTAAATCGTGAAAATCGATTCCCTCTCAGATGGCTTGTCTTTGGTACTCTAAATTTGTATGTCGCCCTAGGTTCTATAGAACTGTTTTGCAAATCCTTCATGTCTTCAGCAGAGTTTGTCTATTAAGTGGGATCCAACCTACCCTTTAAAGGCTCTTGAACAACTCGAGAAGAATTGTTTGTTGATTATATTTTGTTTTTTAATGGAGTACCATATTAGACCGGTTTTGAAAATATAATTTCAAAGCATGCCGGTTGCGCAAAAGCCTTTAAATCTCATTTTCAAGTGATTTATCTGCTCCTGGTTTTGACACATTGGCTTTGATTTTTATCTTAGAAACCTTATCAAATTATTCTCAGTTAAATATTCTCACTTATTTTGAGAATGTTTCGTTTTCAGAGGTCCTCTTCTTCCCGTTATCACTCAAAGCAAACCATGACAAGTTAAACGTAACCATATCAGAATCTATTTTATCGGCTTTTGGGATGTTAGCTTTGGGATAAAAGGGGGTATTCTGTATTTCTCCATTTCTTATTTTCTAAAACGATGCTTTGAGCGAAGATTGTTGTCTTGACTTTTGCCAGGGATGTCATCTTGAATTTAGGTTAACTTTGGTCTACTTGCCAGCTTTTCACTATCCTACACCCTGTCCCTGTCCGTAGAATGATCTTTATTGTCCCTTTGTAAACTGCACTAATTAGGGTTGGTGCCAGTTCAAGGCACAATGTCCCGACGCATTTCGCTGGCCATCTAAATTCTCATTGGTTAGACTATATAAAAGACCTATTGTTGCGGAGCCAATCGGCTAATCTTCGATATTTTCTCGATTTCTCATGAAGTTGCAAGGCATTGTTTTGGCATCTTCGGATTTATGCGACGATTAGCTCATCTTTAAGTTGGTTAAAGTTGCCCGTCTGTATCTTTCTTTCAAAGCTTACTGTGGAACTGGAAAGGCTGTTCACATGCATATATATCAAATCATTCTCAGTGAATTTTTCTTAGTCATTCTTGATGTGTGAGAGTATCAAAATACATCTCTGTTAACAATTCTACCCTCTTGAAAAGTTTCCTTTCGTCAAAATCCCAAACATGTCAAAATAGTGCCATACTGATAGAATTTTCTTGTAAAAGAGCTCGTTGTTTTTCGCCTTGTTATTTTTTATTTTCTTCCTTCGCATATATATCTTCTCAATGAAAAAGAATCATAACTGCATTATAAACCAAGGGAAAAGACTATTTTCTACTTTGGTCAAATAGAAGAATCATAGAAGATCCAACTAAATAATACCTTATCCTTCTAGCCAAATGTATTTAAATATCTTGTTATGAATAGAAACTACTTATTGCTAATTGTTAAAATATTAGCCAAACCTTTTGGGCCTATACATCAAAATCAACTAACACCACGTAAAAAAATATATTGACATACCTAAGGAGGGATTTCAACTTTCAGAGAGCCTTTGCACAGTTACATTATAAACGGGAGCTTCTGTTAACCCCAAAACATACTTGCATAACTTTTCAAAGCTGTCTGATATGCAAAGTCATTTGCGGAAATCGGGCTTATCACTTGAAAGTGCTCCTGGGGTTGGATGGGTATTTTATGTATCTAGTTCCTCAAAGTACCTTAATCCAAAGTTATATATAATTGCTTCATTTTTGCACATTTATCAATAAATCCTCAATTAATATATTTTGAACCCTTTCTAAAAAAGAGGGTGCTCCCTCCTCGACTAGTTTATCTACTGAGAGGGCCCCTCATTAAGAAATTCCCTGCATGCAAGTCTACAATTTTTTTCTTACCTGCTTGTTATTGTTTGTATTTGTATTCATTTACACCTAATTAGCTTATTTGAAAATGTTTGTAGGCAGAGGAATTTTGAAATTATAAACTGAAACTGAAACGTGCTCCGTCCCAGTCGGTTTTTTTATCATCAAATGAGATTACAGCTGGTTCACAGTAGTTGTATGCGCATCGCTATTGTGTATTTATGTGATATTTATATATTTAATTATTGATATATTTCTTGTAAATTTTTAGCTCGCTCAAGAAGACAGCAAAAATCGTCCCATCCATATGGACAGCGTCAATCTACTTCACATGATACTTCAATTGAAATAATTCCAGAATCGAGGTATGGGTTTTGGTGGCTTTTTTAGATATATATATATTAAAGAGTCGAAAGGTTGCATTTCATACGACATTGTCATTTGCCCATTTTCACCTGTGGGAGGAAGAGAAGAAGTAAAATCTGATATCAAAAGTGTCCCCCTCCCTTGTGCTATCGCATTTTCATAAGCCTTTCTCACTATCACGACGAATTTGATTCATTTATTTTTAATAGATTTAAGCACCTGGCATCTTGGATTTAGAAGAGAAATTATGAATTGGAAATTTTTGTATGAAATGTGAAGAAAGTGCCAATGAAAACACTTCTCTAATTTTTAGGAATTTGCTTTTTGTCTCGTCAAAATATAGGTAGAAAGACCAGGAATGTGATTGTTGTGACAAACCATGCAATTATTTTCTTAAACATGCTGTTCAATCTACCGATCGATGGTTTGGAGCAATGTCACTTTCGGAATGTTCCTTAAAATGTTTAATTATTCTTAGATGAAAATTTCATAAGTTGCTAAAATTCTCAGAAATGTATATATATTTCGGAGGGTTTCAAACACTAACCCAGCTCTGTACAAGAGAATCTTTTTCAAGAAAAAGACCAATTAGTCAATGACAAGCTGTTATAATTGAGCTGTTCTTTGTTTTTATGCGACGTTCAATTGTTTCTGTGAGGGTGGTGGCTGGATTTCCCTTGTTAACTTAGAGGCTACAATGCCTTCCATGACATTAGGCAGGCATTTAGGAAAATGAAACGGTTTGGCGTCCTAACTATTGGACTGCTACAACATACGAGGAATGTTGAGAAAATCAATTTTGGGGTAGGGATGTCACTCATGTGTTAGGCAATGGGAGGGATAGGTCCTATATCAAGAGGATTCACTGAAATATAGTTAGTTCTTCATCTTTGTCGTTATCTTTGACATTGCAGATTATGTGTCAAATTTTTAAAAACCTTAATGGTTGAAAGTTTTTTTAATACCTTCGATTTTGTAACACAGAAGCAAAGTATGTGTAACGGAACTGTGTCTTGTAACGGAATTTTGAATTTTTTCGCAGCATTCGAGTCCTTATTTGTATCATTGTGATTGCTTTCATTTCAAGGAACATTCTCTCTCTCTTTTTAGTTCTCCGTCCCAATCAGTTGAAAGCTCGCCGGAGCAAAACTCTGGTAAAAAAATATGTTGTCCTGTTTGTATGGATGATAGCGATCGGGTGAGTGTCTTACTTTTTGGTAGCTTATCTTCTTTAGAAAAAGTTTAAGTTGTTCGCTATACACTGTTCATATTGTTTAGGTCCATTATCTGGTTTTGATGACAGCTGTTTAACTTTGGAATGTTTGTCTACCTTAGAAAAAGACCCTAGCTATAATTAGCAAGTATTTTGAACTGATTATTTTCAATTTGCAAAGATTCTTTTCAGCGGTACAGAAATTTGTTTATCCTTTAAGCATTTAAAAATTTTCAGAAATTTTAAATAATTTCGATCCACAACTAGGTATGTATATTTCCTAGCTTAGAGTTTCGATCTATGTTCTGACGTTTTATACTCTGAAGAGTGTCAGGCGAAAAACTTAAGTGTGTTTCCAAATGTCTGGTTTTTTACAACCGTTTTTATTTCCAACTGTGAAGTTATCTTGGTCTTCTGTCTTACTATGATATCTATGCTTACTATGAAGTCACTCCTCTTAACGTCACATTACAGCTTAGTCACATGACCTAAATTTGCAAAACTGTACAATTAGAGTCCGTTAACAGTCATACTCCGCATTCTTTCAGGAATTTTCCGACAACAATAGGTGTGACTATGACCTGAGTCTACTGTATGTAACTCTTTTAATTTATGTGAATAGCACGAAGGGAGTAAGTGAAATAGAGTCTCTTTTCTGTTAGTTACTGTATTTGTTTTGAAGTTTATGTTCAGCCCTCTGATTCACTGTTTTGGCTGTACAAAACTGCATGCCATTAGAATCTGTATGATACTGCCCTTGTAGTAGAGATCGTGTGCCCTGGTAGTAGGCCTGGTAGATGTATGCCCTGGTAGAAGAGATCGTGTGCCATGGTAGATGTATGCCCTGGTAGGAGAGATCGTATGCCCTGGTAGTAGGCCTGGTAGATGTATGCTCTGGTAGTAGAGATCGTGTTCCATGGTAGATGTATGCCCTGGTAATAGAGATCGTGTTCCATGGTAGATGTATGCCATATTACTAGAGATCGTGTCGAAGCCAATCTTCCCATCACCCTATCATCAAGCTTCATTTATTAGGCCAATTGCTTCCTGTTGTGAGGATTGTAAGACGTGGGCTACAATGATGAGCTTGAACTTGGTTTTATCTTATTTCCATAAACGTAGCAATTATTTACATTATTAAAGCTATAACTCAAAACTCTGTTGTAAACTCCATAACTTGCGAACTCGACTCGACTCAACTCGACTCGACTCAACTCGACTCGCAAACTCGACTCGACTTGACTCGTCAACTCAACTAACTGAAACTGCCACACCTATCTCGCATTAGCACGAAAGCGAGGTTGTGACGCACGCATTATGACACTTTCTAAGGATTCTTTTATCATAAGACCAGCATCCAGAAAAATTTTATTTTTCTTGATTCGTAATTGCAATAGAGTTGCTAAATTTCTTTAAGACTGCTTTATAGATGCAATCAATAATTTACGCCACATCCCCTTATGAATAATGTCATAGAAAGAGAGTGTTGATGTCATGATAAGAACTCTTCATGCTACAAAAGTAGCAAAAAAGAGTATAAGATAAGGGCCTACTAAGCAACATAGAAGCCATAGGGATGACATGAATTGTTTCTATGATTCAGTTTTAAATGTGGGTATAGCAGCCCATACCCTTCTTCAGCACATCTTTTTTAAATAAATGATCGATTTGGAGATTGTCTTGTGTCCCACTGCGCATTTCGTAGCAATTTAATAAGTCCAGTATAACCCTATTTATAGTGATATTGCTGTTTACCGGTCTGTCAAAAAGTGCTCGATATCGTATAGGCAGAGCTGTAAACACTATTTGCCGTATAGAACAGAACGGTTCTAAGTTGCTTTGCCGAGTTTCGTGCTTTATGCCATCATCAAGCAACTGTAAAATACTAAATATATAGAAATGCAAATACTAGATGTCTTCCGTTCACTGAAAACAACTTTAGGAAGACTCGGATCTGGAACTTCCTAAAACTTTCAAAGATTGCTTGAAGCAAAATCAATGGTTAAAAATATTTTATGGATTTTCTAGGCGATAAAGCCCCTACAGCGCCCCCATACGTTTTTTGAACTAATGCAACAAGGTTCAAATCCTTAGTTTCCCTATTACCCCGGATACTAACACACCTCGAGTAACAGCACATGGGCTGGAACACGAAAACTAACTCAGTGCCCTTTTAGAGTACCCAAATTGCAATGCGACTATTCAAAATCAAGCAATCTGTTTGGAATGTGGAATTTCATTGAAGTTAAATGAGGGCTGAAAGAAGTCACTGATGACTAATTTTAGCCACTTACTGTTTCTCTCCCCTCTCTTGTTACATTGTTGCCAAATTTCAATAATGATCTATGGCTGCCCTTGTAGACTTAAAGTAAATATAATCGCTAAAATGATTGATATGTAGAGTGGAAGGAAAGGGTTAACTCTGTGTCAAACCAATAACTGATAAAATGAAGCACCAAAACGCATGCTATGTTTTTGCACATTGGGCTTCTTTTTCAGTTTTTTTTACCACAATTTCAAGTGGTCTACTTAAGAGCACATGGCGCTTCACTTGAAGACACATGCTCTTCTAAATTTGTAAAATTCCAAACCTCAAAATATCAGAAATTGCTTTAAATTCTGTTAACAGCATATGCGCTAGTATCCGGGGAAGAAAGGAATTCTTCTCAATTTCTATAGTTTTACGTAATGGCTTTTGCGCAACCGGCATGCTTTGCCAGCATATTGTCAAAACCGACCTATTATCGTACTTAATGAAAATAAAAAGTACATCGTTTCTCCGCGCATTAAAAACAGATACTGCAAAGCATGTCGGTTGCGCAAGAGCCTGAATAAAGAGGCAATTGAAAACGCAGCTTGGTAACAAAAAGGATAACCAGTGCGGCGACAAAGAGACATTTTAGAATTTCTACTTAAACATCTTTAATCCAATTGAATTGAAAAAGTAATCCATTATAAAATTCATTGAGATATTCCAGTTACAATCCAGGTGTGACAGAATCAGTTGGACATAATCAGTTGCCTTTAAAGACTAGATAAGATTCTGGCGAGTTGCACTACTTCCTAAGCATGTCAGAAACTTCAGCTAAATCACGATCATTCTATATTTTAGATAAATCGAGGGACAAGGCAGTTAGTGTCAACGACATGTGGCCACATATTTTGTAACGTGTGTTTGCAGGAGGCTGTGCGGATACAACGGAAATGTCCCACGTGCCGCAGAAAACTCAATGTTAAACAATACCACCCAATATTTATTTAAAACCGAAGCATCTCTTCATTCTTTAATTTAATTTATACGCATTGTTGAACTTTGCAAACCCAACAGGTCTTGCAGTTTCTAGAATCCTAGATTAGTCAGTTCAGTTTTATCAGTTCATCTTGGCCAGGGGTGTAGTGGTAGGGGGGCTCGAGGGGATTGAGTCCCCTTGTTAATGCCAAAAGAAGCAAATTCTGATTTTTTGCAATGTTTTGCACAAGGGCCTCCCTCTTGTTAATTTCATAGCTCTACACCCCTGATTTTGCCCAGCTGTTTAGTAGTGCCGTCCTTCCCTCTAGCAATTTTCTATAGATATAAATTCATCGAGCTTCCGTACTGAACATTTCACTTTGTCCATATCTTTTTTCCCATCGACATTAACATCTACATTAGCCAACCAGAGATGCCACTGAAATAGCCTCGTTTTTAAGTTAGAAACGTTGGTTTGTTCCTTTGAAAGGCCACGTGTTTGGTGACTGAATCCGATATGACGTCAATTTTCGTTCATGAATCTTTATGAACACCTTTGCTTTTAATTAAGGAAGACCCATAACTGTGCTTTGTTCACCATTACCCATTTAGTTTGTTTTCGTTCACTCTCTGTGTAATTTCATGCACATTACTAGCTTTTTGTTGATTAAAAGTAATGGTCGCAAAATGATTCAACATTGATAAAAAATTTTAAGTTGGATTAGCGTTTCGGAAACATTATCATTGTTTGTTGCTGTTATTGATAAGAATATGAAATTGAACCTAAGCATATTTTCTAAAATCATTGCTAATTATTTTCTACCTCTTATTATTCATAACCATACCATCGTTAATATATGTAGAATTGTTTGGTTGTCAAAACTATTTTTATATAACCACATTAATGAAACTAATGACTTGAATGTGTTAGTGAGAAAATGTTTTAATTGGTTCTTATCTTTTCTATTTATTACTCTTTGTGCAAAGTATTCAGTCTGTTTTTTCTGAATTCTTGCGAGGACATCTCATGCCCGCAAGAGAGTGGGGCATTCATAAAGTAAAGAGCACGTTATTGTTTAGATAATTTAAATTACGAATTTCTATTAGACGATGAAAATTTCGTTCCAGAATAAAAATTAGTTAGATGTGTCATTTATTTTTGCTTACACACTGCTGCTTTAGCTATGGAAAAGTAAGTAAAGCTTTTTTTTGAATAACACATGTTGCTATCTGTGGCTTTTCATGTACAGGGACAAACGAAGTTATGTTGATGGAGTAACAGAATATATTATTCCACTCAGCTAATAGGTTTAGCTTGCGAATCCATCAACAATAGTTTAAAAAGGGCGGTTAAGCAAAAACAATGTCCCGTGTATACTGGATTCACTTTGAAATACGTTCTAACTACAGGCGTACTCCTCTGATAAGGTGATGTTCAATGTTATAAAGTGCCTACGCAATGAGGAAATCCACCCCCTTATCATGGGAGAGGTCAAATGACAAGGGTCTGGGGCGATTAGCAATGATGTCTTATTTTTTCTTCAGACTTCTCTACTAATCCACAGTTCTTGCAATACAGAAATCTGTGCTGATAGAGCTGCTTTGTCAATAATGATTAAATATTGTTACAGGGGTTATTAAAATGTTGATATGATTATATGAGGATCATATTATAATGAGGATGGTTGATGATTAAACGATGATGTTGACGATTGATGATTGTTGATTATGATGGGTGACGACGATTAAGATGTTGGTGATGATTACATAATGAAGATGGTTGATGATTATTAAACGATAATGTTGACGATCGATAGTTGTTTATATGATTATGATTGTTCATGATTGCAGATCACGATGATAGTGAGATGATGTTTCAGGCATACCGGAAAACAAGGACCCAGGACCTTAAGGCAGGACCGAGGACCAGGACCCAGGACCGAGGACCAGGACCGAGGACCAGGACCGAGGACCAGGACCGAGGACCAGGACCGAGGACCAGGACCGAGGACCAGGACCGAGGACCAGGACCGAGGACCAGGACCGAGGACCAGGACCGAGGACCAGGACCGAGGACCAGGACCCTGAACCAGAAAAATTTTCCATAAAATCCGAAATCCAAAACTGCACATCGAACAAAAGACTGCACATCATTTTAGGGGAAAAGAATCTGATTTTATTTCTGACTTTGTGCGAAAAACGAAAACTCGGGTAGCTCGGGAATATGTAAATGTACGATTAAACGAAAGCAACGCCTTGAAATGTGAAATACTCCTATTGGCCATGCAAACCTGACGTGATTGTTTTAGCATAGATGGCTATTGATATTCTTTAGTAGGATCGGGGTATATTTTATGCACACTGCAAACCTTTAGTAAGCCCACATCATTAAAAAGCCACCAAAGCATAAGTAGTCTTAATATGTTTAAATAGCAAGACATTAGAACGTTTCTATGCTCTAGAAGCAGGAATGGCTGCACTCCCTTTGGTATGTTTTTCATGAACTGCGGAGCATATTAAAGAGTGAGGGGGCTAAAACGTTTTTTTGGGGTGGGGCGCTAAGCATGCTCATAATCAAGAACAAGGCGATTTTGTATGGTTTTAAGAACAGCCCCCTTCCGCGGTGCCAGTATGTTTATCATTTCAGATTGAACCATTGTGTCAAAAGTCCTGATCTGGATTTGAAAAAGGTTTACTATTCCATAAAATGTTTCTACTCTGAAAAATACCACTAAATCTTTTTAAAAGCGGGCTCCTTTTAAATAAAAAGAAACTAATGCATCTGAAAAAGAGCAGAAGGAAATTTCTTTGGAATCTTATCGTGACACCCACAAAGCGGTGTCCCGAGACAGTTCGTCTAATTTGAATCTTCTATTGAACATTTGCAGTACATAATGACTTGGCAAGGTTTCTGATGACCCAGACAGCGAATGTTTGCCAAGAAAGGAGTGCCATTTTTCAAGTGACGGAAGAGGAGACCAAGTACTCATAACCCAGGACTCAGAACCTAAGGCATGCCCAGGAACTAAAATGACCAACAACCTGCATCGTGCAAAAAATGTTCCTGAAAATTTTGAAAACATTTGAAAATTTTCTAACCCTAGAAAAAGTGGAAAGGTAAAAAAATTGATATCGAGGAGCCATGCAAACGAAAACAACTGAAACGTTCATTTTGTATACAATATTGAGAAAGCTTTATGGCCCCCGTCTCCCTTTTTTTAGCTCTACACTACTGCTTGCAACGTTTACTCACACTCAAAATACTCTTATTAGCCGTGCGAACCTGACGTGGTTGTTTTAGCATAGTTAGCTAGCACAGCAATTACTATTCTATAGTAGGATGGGGGTATCTTTGATGCACACAGCAAACCTTATATCTTTAGTAAGCCCACATCATTAACAAGCCATCAAAGCGTAAATAGTCTTTATAAATTTAAAAAGTGTTTAGACATTAAAGATGTCAAAGACAGAAATGGTTTGTCAGCAAAACGTTTCTTTGCTTTCTGTGCTCTAGAAGTAGGAATGGCTTCTTTTTTGTATGCTTATAATTGCCGGCTGTAATATGCATCAGAAGTCATGATCTTGATTTAAAAAAGTTTTAAAATTTTGCATTCCGGAAAGCGTTTCTGCTCTGAAAGAGAAAAGTGGCGACAATCCACCTAATTTCACTTTTGAGCACTTATAGCAGCAATGACTTGGCAAAGTTTCTGATCACCTAGACAGCAAATGAGTGCCATTAGAGGTACACGCGATCTGTCACGCGACAGACATGATTTGTCGACATGCGCAGTGCCAATTGTAGACAAGCAAAATCACTTGCCAGGATCACAGAATGGGGAGATCGCGGTTGAATTCTGTGTCGCGATCCACGGTTCTAATGTCTTGCTATTTAAACATATTAAGACTACTTATGCTTTGGTGGCTTTTTAATGATGTGGGCTTACTAAAGTTATAAGGTTTGCAGTGTGCATCAAATATACCCCGATCCTACTAAAGAGTAGCAATTTCTGTGCTAGCCATCTATGCTAAAACAACCACGTCAGGTTTGCATGGCCAATAACAGCGCCGTCGGAATGAAATTCATATTGGGGGGGGGGGGTGCTGCCCATTGTTTTCCTTCTCATTTAGTACACTGTTATTAAGGAAACATACTACAGTTTGACAATTATTGGGGGACTCCAGCCCCCCAGCCCCCCGGTTTCGACGGGCCTGAATAAGAGTATTTCACATTTCAAGGCGCGTTGCTTTCGTTTAATCGTACATTTACATATTCCCGAGCTACCCGAGTTTTCGTTTTTCACACAAAGTCGGAATAAAATCAGATTCATTTCCCCCTTACAATGATGTGCAGTCTTTTGTTCGATGTGTAAAACTTTTGGATTTTATGGACAATTGTTCATGGTATGCAATGTTATAACTGGGTATTCTTATAAAGGAAACTACGAGTGCATCGTCGAAAACATATACGGTCCTGGGTCCTGGGTCCTGGGTCCTGGTCCTGGTCCTGGTCCTCGGTCCTGGTCCTCGGTCCTGCCTTAAGGTCCTGGGTCCTTGTTTTCCGGTATGCCTGATGTTTCATTATAAAAAATGATTGTGCTAGTTGATGGTGATTAAGATGAGCAATCACGATATTAATGATGATGAGTGGTGATTACGAAGATGAAACTTAAATACGTAACAATTGCGAAATAATGCCAAACATGCTGGCCAGTCGTACACAGCTGACTCAGTTGTACTCAAGAAATCTCCCCGAAAGAAACTGAGCTATGTCATCATACTACCAATATTTGCCCTTTCGTAAACCAAAGAAAGTTTCTCCGCCCCTTACATGTTTCTCAAGCTTATAAGAGATTTTTCCAATCTTTCTCATATACGCCTATCACTAGTTTCAGGTTGGATTAGGTCGCCTATATCTTTAAGTCGTAGGTGAGAAATTGTTTGAGGAAACCACGATCCCAGTAGCGAGCAAACGGCTACAAAAAAATGAGGCCAGATTTTGATAGTGGTTTCACCTATTAACGTAACCGATTGACATTGCCCATCAGCAAACATTTGTAAACTTTTGCAGGAGCCTTTGGCTAAACGATCTCCCCTATAGAATGCCAAGAATCTCACTTTTGAACGTCGAAACTCAGACTTGCGCCGAGATTCTACAGGCATCATTTCATAATAAAACATTGGGATAAGTGCTCAGTTTCTTAACTTTTTGTTAACTTTCAGGATTCTAAATATTTTCTTGATTACCAGCTGCTTAAGAGCTACTTTTCGGAAACACAAAACGGAACACAAATCGGTCACTAGGAGTTCTTCTTTCTATTATAGATGACAATTAAACAGTAAATAGGTGCCTAATCGATGACAAGAATAATTTCCAACCCCATCTCAGACAAAAAGTAACTTATGTAATAGCCTTTTGTTACTCTTTCGATCTCATGTAGTTTTGTCCCTGAAATTTCCACGACTACACTCATTTTTTATAAGAAACAAAGGTTGATGTTGTTCGGTTTTTCTCTAGTTTCTTAATGTTCTGGAAATTTCAATACTCGTTGTTTCTTAAGAGTTTCTTAATTATGATGTCATGAATGATGTTATGAAATGTTCGTGACCTTTTTCTCGCGTCAAGAGATTCGCTTCCGTTCTGACGCTGTATTTAGACGTGGGAAGTGTATTTTTATCCCTTGTGTCTTAATTTCTAGGCCATCAGGGCAATCATGTTCTTGGATTTTACAAAATTTCGTTGTTCTCAATTTTATCACGATTTAATAGTTTCTTAATTTGTTTGCTTCGAGTACTGAAGTTTCTTATTTTTTTCTGACTGTCCAGTACTCGTTTCTTATAGCCAGTTTCTTATAAAAAAACGAGTGTACACTCTAAACAGATCCAAATTGAAAAACCGAATAACTCAGATAACTTTCAATTCTTCACTAATTCTAAATCCCAAATAACATAAAATTTACATCGATTTTTCCACTGTTTCTTATTTACATTTATTAATTAATTGGTCTCGCCACTTTCTCTTCACAAGTCTCCTTGTAAACAGATATCTACACCCTTCCAGGCAGTACATAGTGTAATTTATTCTTGATTTAAATATATTATTCAAAAGAACTCGTACTCATTTGTGCCAGGCCTAGTAATAGATTTATTTTTCCAAATATTTGGAGCTCACCGAGGCAAACTACATTTCTCGGTAATATTTTAATACGTTAATTTGGAGCCAGCAATGAATCGCCTTGAGTTGCACCTATTCAAAACAAATTCGTGTAAGTTATATTTTTAAGTGCAAAATTTTACGGTCTACGGTCGCAAGAGCCACAATAAAATATTTTACTCTGATCGATACTTGGTATGTCCTTTAAATAGATGTGAAGAATAATAAGGTGGGACAAGCTTCCATTTTTGAGCCTTTCCTTGTTGGCGTTTGACTTTGTTAAAACTTGTTAATTTCAGGTGAGCATTTATCCGCGAGCATCTTTTCTTATTCACTAAACACAACTAAACGAACTATTAAACTTGTACTTTGGCTTCGATTGTAGCCATAAGAAATGGCGCTTCAAATATTGCTAACGTCAGCTGCATGTTTCTTTCTACTGACCAACTTCGCAAGATTGGACAACAGTTTGCCTTTACTGCAACCTGTAGTTTTAGTTAATGTTAAATGTCTGTAGCTGAAAAGGACTTCATTAGTGATAGCCCTTTAGTCTAATCAGTCTGACACAACATTATTTCAAAATATAACTAACTACGATTTCGTATTTACAATTTATAATGCCACGGTGACGTGTGGCCTGAATATCCAGGGGAATGTGTATAGGAATTGTAATTGTGGTACGGCGCAGAAATGCCTGAGTGTCCATAGTTATAGCCATTGTAATTGTAATTTATGTTGCTGTTAATTGCGGACGAGTAGCTGTCATAGCACTGATCTACAGCTCCGTTCGTTTGGTATATCGACGGTGGTGGTGAATTACAATACCGAGAAAGGCATGATGGTTGACCGTTTCGTATCAATATTGGCACGGGCACTTGTCGCCCTGAAGTGAAGTTCAACCAGTCCAATCGATTTCTAGATTCGATGCTCTGCTTTTTGCACTTGTAGCGTTTGTTTTGAAACCATATCTTGATCTGAATGAAGAAATTGTTGGGTTAGAATAATGTAGAGCTATATGGAATTCAAATTAGCTTGAAATAATAAGAGAATCACAGGATTTACTTGAAGGATAGCTTTGCTACATTTTATTGGGATTGTCTAGAATCAAACAATTTTATGACGTGGCCTGAATGAGTCTCTGAAGTAAGTGGCACTGAAGTGGCAGGCCTTTCAAACTCATTGGTTTAAAGTATTAAAAAGTTGATACACTTGTATCTCCTTCTAATGATATGTATCATAAATCTTCTGCCTATATAGACATTTTGTCATTTCATAAGTATATTGAACTGTTTTCCTAACCAGTCTTGGAAAGAAAAACCAACAGAGACTTTGTCTTGATAATGAACCAACTTGCCCAACTTTGATGTACACTTCGCTCGTTTAAACAACCCTGATTCTAAGATGGTTAGAGGCAAAGCATGAGTTTTGGAATGTCAATTTACTCCAAGCCTCGTTGTTCTGGCCACACCTATCCGAGCAATTCATCACATGGGCTGGGAAAACATGTGAGCTAATTCGGCGTGGCCATATGCGAATAACTATAGATCCTAACCTATTTTGAATGAAGAATAAATTTTCTTGCAGCAAGTCACTTCTGAACACCCAAATGTAAATACTAACGTCCTCATATTTCCATTAAAAGACATACATTGGTTGATCATGTTTGCTCGTTGTGACTTGCAGAAGGAGCCAGTGAGGAAAAGGGGTCATAGAAATGAAAAAGCACAGCTGATCGTCGTCTGGGTCATCCAAATTCAAAGGGAAATAGGAAATCGAACTGAATTTAAACATCCACAGATGACAAATATCTAGAAAATTCCATATTTTAAATAGCAAATTGCTTGCTCTACACATGTCAAAATGTGTCCGGAAATAGCCTTTCTATCGGAAAGTTGTGCCAGATCATAAAAAACAAGCCGATGAAAGGGCAAATGCACAGGAAACTTAGATCCATTTCTCGGATTTGGACAGGGGACATTGGCTTACTCATGGCATACATTTTAGCATTCTACCATAATAAAGTATTTTCGGCTACATTGCTCTCGTAATGACATTTTTCTGGAAGTTTGACATTAGGGTTTAAAATAAACTGAGATGGCATTGTTTGGCTTCAAACCATCCAGCATGATCACAAGAATGATGTGCTCAGATATAAGAATAATATGATCCATTTGTCGGTGAATAGGCCGTACTTGTGGGTAAAAAATGATTTAATTCCATGGCTATCTTTCTAGCCCGAATTGAAACTGTTTTGAGGGCCTTTTCTGAAAAGTGAAAAGGTGTGCGAGGCAACATATACATTGCAACATATACATTAAAAGTCGGTAACCCTTATTTCAGGGAACTCGCTCTAGTCGAAACGGCTAAGGTCATATTGGTATTCTTTTGAGCAAGTTAAATCTATTGAAACTCAGGCAAATATCAGCTGAGTCGGTGAAAAATTGCTAGTTCGAATTTTACACAATATTTTGAGATATAAATCTTAGCAAGGCCATTTAAAACGACGGCAGGCTATTTCTTCCACTTAATATCCGATGAAGTAATATGGACTGATTCTAAACGATGAATTTTCTCCAAAAATAACATCGTCTACTCTAAACGAAAAATAAGCAGTATGAAATAAATCACATACTTGAGTTGGTGTTAAATTTAATTTATTCGCCAGTTGTTCTCTCTCGTTTGCATTCAGATATTTTTGTTGCTTAAATCGTTGCTCTAATTCGGTTACTTGTGATTGAGAGAACAAAATTCTTGGTTTTTTCTTTTGCCTCGTGCTTTGTGTTGTTGCTGTTCCAGAAACTGGTGCTGCTGTACAGGTCCTTTGGGCCTCTTTGATATCATATTTGGTGTCTTCTGATTGAATTGCAAATGTTTCTTCGACTGCTGAAAGCGAAAATAAATAAAAAGTTTAGCATCTTTGAAAATGAGCAGCGAAATTGCTTGGGTAATGTCTTCTTTTGAGATGCTTGGTGGAAATGGAGGGTTCAGCAACTTAGGCCTAAAGATTGAAGTCAATGCATTGAACTGGTATGTCAAAATTATGTTTTGTTGGAATGAATTTCCTAAAATAAAACTGCTTATTGATATGGATATAGATTAAGCTCTTCTCCAACCATTTTATGCTTCATGAATTCAACTAGCTTGAAACTATCGTTCAATAAGAAAGACATAGGCCTAAATACTGAACCTATTGAGGCTCGAGGTACATAAAAAGCGCTTATAGAATTCAGGGTTGTAGCAACGACACTTCAGGTGAGGATAAATTTTGAATTTATTTTTATGAATTAAACTCGAAGATCTGAGAAGTAGATCCAAAAATGTAATAGTGCTTTCAAAGTGGACCAAAAAGAGAAAATTTAGACATTTCTACTTTTCACACCCATTAGAAACATATGAATTTGAAATTGTGGTTGAAAAAGCTCAATAAAAAGTTTATAAATATGTCATCAACATAAATTAGGTTATTTATCAACTTTCCCGCAAATGGCTTGCATCCTTGGAAGTAAATTAAAAAGTGAAACATAGCCAATGTTTTGAAAGTTTACGTTCACTAATGGAGGGCAGTATTGAATTTACGTCCAGCTTGATCGATGCAGGACATAATTTTTCTCTACGAGAGACAATTGTCGAAGTTGGCAGTTGTCGCCTGCAAGGCAGAATAAACCGATCAGTCTTGATATTCCGCAACTTTCGCTGATGAAGCGCCTGATGAAGCAGAAATATATCGTAAAATATGTCAAAGGAATTTAAGGTACAATTTTTCTTTTTTAGAAAAATTTTAGTTTAAGAAAAATCACCAGTAGAAGAATTGATGTAAAATTGAGAATTCATTTTAACAATACCCAGAACCAAACCAATGAGAAAATATCGTAAAGACGGAAGTGGATGATATAACATCAGGGACCATTTTGCCACTTTAAAATTGGAATTAGCTTTATGATTTAATAATTGGCATAAATTTCACTCTCTTTTTGAATATTTCAATGAATTTGTAGGGCTTTCCCCCTTCAAATGGATTAAACGCCTGTCATGGAATTAGAAGAGGAAACATTTCTGTCAAGGGTAGGGTAGCAGAGGTGGACAGGACAATTTTGGGGTTAGATCAGTGGCGGCGCCAGGGGGTGGTATTGCGGGGGGGGGTAATTACCCCCCACTTTTTTCGAAACATGGTCTACATATTTCGTCTAAAAACAGGTTAAAAAGCACTAGGTAGGGGAAGATCATATTTCCTAAGGAAATTTGACCTGGTACAAAGCACTGAGACAAGGCGATTTGGGCGTGGTCTCACTGGCCACGCCCATTACCCTCCCACTCGGCAGTAGCTGGCGCTGCCACTGGGTTAGATCAACTTCTAAGGGTATTTCAAGTCGCATGGCCACGAAAAGGCTCTTAGGGTAGGAGACTTAATAACCACAGGGCTCAAAGAGATTTCTTTCTACTGGCTGCAGTCTGTGTCTATACACTATTGTGGAGCAGCTTAATTTCTAGAAGAAGGTATATCTAACACTGTCCCCTAAAATCTCGAAGGGACTGAGGCAAGAGTCTTGCCTTATTAATTTTAGCTATCGACCCTAAAACCAGTCAAAACGCCGACACGTAATAATAATAATGGAAACTTTTCATTTTGAATTCCAGTTAAAACTACAATTACAAATCTCACTATTACAAGGTAATTTGTAACTGGCTAGCCTGTTTTTACAAAATAAGACTATTACAATCGTAGTAAAGAGAAAAGATAATTAATGATAATTATAATAATGATAATTATAATAATTATAATAATAAGATATATTTAAAGTGGGTAGCCTATAATAATTTATCTACAAAGAGAAAAATTCTTTACATAGGGCCCACTGTCAGAGTAACGTAAAAATTAAATTCAAAAGCTAAAAGGAAAAAAAGTATATAAAAGCATTAAAATCCTTAATATATGTGTCCAAATCAGTTATACTATCACATATAATATATGTGTACAAACACGTCAGATTTCTATGCAAGTGGCGTATTTGGTTTTTTCCTTCCTGGTCAACTTGAGTAAACAGGTGAAATTTTTTGAATAAAATAGACAGGTAGGGCACAATTTTTGCTTACGCTTATCAAATGATAAGGAGCTTCTGTTCAAATACGGTGCTGCATGAGTAATCATGGTGAAACCAGAAATTCAAAAATAAGGCTAACTGTATAATGGATGATGCAATAAAAGCATTTACTTGTCGTACTTTCCTATCATTTTCATTTTTCAAGCACATGCACAAATCTTTGGCCATTACGGAAAATTAAGTTGCTGTTTATTCCATCCCAGCAAACACCCTTGTGCGTTTATGGACTTAATGGTAGAACCCTAAAACCTACACTCACATGATATCAGTTTATTTCTCCAGCGACTCAACCAAAGCAAGTAGTAAGCTACTAGCAAATGCACTGACAAGTTTTTCGTTTAGGCAATTGATTATTGTTTAGTTTCAGCAATAGCAATTTTAGGTTGATTTCAACCTAAGTCCTAGAAAAAGGTAACGGAGTGAACAGTTTACTACATAGATAAAAAAATGACCGAAACTCTATTCCTTTTGGAGAATCGTGCATGTTAACAGTTCGGGCCTTTTAGCAGGAACTTTTTAATAAATTTCGTTCACAATTATGCCTCAAATTGAGCCCGGAATAATGGCTGTCATAGGAAGGCCAATAGAAAAAATTACGTCCTCTACCTATGCCCAAATCAAAGGTTTACCAAGGTGTTAATGAACTCCGCCTTCAAAAAATTGAAGTAATTGCAAAATATTTCATCCTTCCACTTACAATCACTGCCAAAATTCTTGGTTCACAAACGTAAATCTTCAAAGGCATAATCAGCCATCCCCCTCTCCCACTAGGTACAATGTTGATTAACTTTAGAAAAATAAAGGGATTATAGGTATGCTTTTTGTATGCCTTGTATTTTTCTATTCTTTCAACATTGTTTTGGGGGAAAGGGGGACGGAAGTAGTAGCATTCGAGAAAACAAATGAAAAAAGACAAGCACAGCGCAGCAAAGTGTTGGGTGTTAATGTTGATAAGACCCTTAGTCTATAAGCTTTTAAAAATTAAACTTTTTGGCTGCAAAAGACCGGAAGAAAACAAAAAATGCCAGCAAGAAGAAAATGACACAGTTTTCAGGATTTATAGACGTAAGAACAGTGACTGCACAAGGGGCATGTATCAGTGGCGTCGACAGCTAAAAAAACTGGGGTAGACGAAAACAAATTTTCTCGGCCACGCCCTTCTAACTCTTGGAAAGGTCTTTATTGTTATTTTTTTTATCTATTTCGTAATTTAGTATAGTAGTATCTTTTTTTTACCTTTGGGCAAGCAAATTTCTCAAGCAGATTTTTTCGTAATGGTGACTTTTTTGAAAGTGCGAAATCAAAATCGATCTATACAATAATCCTGGAGAACAGAAGGTGATAACAATCGCCGTAGGCATACGGTAAATTGTGTTTCGTAAAATGTATGACAAAGAGCCACTATCAACGGTAAATTTATCGCGAATTGTTGCTGCCGTTTTTATACGACTTCCAGGGATCTGTTTCCGAGGGATATGTTGCGGTACATTCCTATCCACATCAACGACGCCGGATTAAAGTATTTCTCTTTATCTTCCCTGGTTCAGAATAGCTTATAATGAGAAAAAGCAGATTATTTCAATCGCAGTATTATAACTGAGAATTATACAATATATTCAAAAAATACAACAATTTAATGATCAACAACATGTCCATTCCGAATAGATTGGCAGGACATTACAAAACAATTTTTCAGAACCAAAAGGTTATACTATCTTGTACTGTCCTTGCCACATATAAGAAGCATTCCTTCTCTTTCGATTGTTGTGATTTAAATTTTTTTATGAATATTGAAAGTTTTTTGGCATTTATTGATAGGAAAGGTTAGCGCAAAGTTTTTAGTTCGCAGATATCAATACAAACAGCTGTCATGTGCTGTACTTAAATATTACGTCAAAGTGAAGATGGTTCTATTCTCGTTCGTCTCAGTATAAGAAAACTAGATGTTAGAGACAGATTGAATCATCTTTGGTGCAATACCTGTTAGAATTTGATCCATACTTCTTAATGGTAATCAAACATGCTTTCCTGATCGACACATTTTTCAACATACCCTCCCCAACCACTTTCAGTGCTTGCGTTTGAGGATTATTTCAGTATTAGATCGTAGAATATATAATGTTTAGTTTTTTTATAGAAATAAGTGTCTTTGATTTATATGAAGAACTTTCTGTAAACAACTCTCGTCTTGAAATAGCTGCAACTCTAGCCAGAATTTCTTGGAACACCTTGTGGTCAATGAAAGATCTAACCAAGTTAAGTTTCAAGCCGTAAGATACAGAAATATTCCTCTTCCCCCAGAACAATGCTGGTTGAAAAGCCTTATACTTGCACTTGCTGACAGAGTTTCACTGGTTGAATTTCATACTTTGAATCTGTTGTTATTCAACATTGTTTCAAGGGGGAGAAGGGGATGTTACTGAACTTATATGAAACTTTAGCGTAGTGTACCAAGACTTTTGGCAAGCATTGTAGCTAGCTTTGTTTGTACCTTCTCTTATCCCGCTCTATCCGATCATAGTCTGGCTGAATGTTTTTAACCCGATGCTATCATGGAAATTCCTTTGCTAAAGGAGCCTAGGTCATAAAGAGTTTTACGATAATTCAAATTATGACTCAAGTGCCAACCAAAGCTGATACTTAACGTGTCCTTGAACTAACCTGAGCACTCTGTTTCCAGAATCTCATGTTAGCGATGTTCTTAATATAAAAGGCGTCTTTAAATGGGTATAGCAAACACATAAGTCTGTGTACATCACAAGTGAACCTGTTCAGTGAATTTTCTAAAGGGCCAATCAAAACAGAGACATGGCAACTAATTCGTGGTTAAGGCAAACGATTGTACAGCTATGTCCAATTGCGAAGCATTCAAACTGTGATGATGGAAGATTTGATTACGGCGTTTTAGGTTTGTTTTTATGCCTACTGCAGGCAAACAACCTCATTGATAAACCAGAAAATTTGCTTGTAAGAAAATCCCATAACAGACAGCTGAGATACACGAGTTGCGCGTGTTTGTACAGATGGGATTTGGCCTAAATACGTTTTTGATGAGCAAACGTACAAGAAAGGTGTCCAAATTGATTTCTATAAGCATCACTAAACACATCTAAGTTATGGGCTTAAAGGGTTCAAACAATACCAGAGGCTAATAATAAACACGCTTACAAGAAACGAAAATGGTACTTCGATTAAAGATCAGTTTAAATCAAAGAAACCTCCAAGTCGAAGTAGGCACTCGCTGTGTATTTTCTCAAAAAATTATGAATCTCGTCTTTATGAGGAATACATTGCGTAAGATATTTGATCCTTGCATGAAGAAAATAAATTTTCAAAGGATCTTTAAAATTGGAAGCACTAAGATTTAGTTGTTGCAGTATTTTCCGAAAATTGACACATCCAGCAATACGTTATCGTCATACCAGTAAAACTTTATCAGAGAGAAGAAACTAGGGTAATAAATTCTCGGAGAATAATTTAGTAACTTGCAAGTCGCTTCAGGGAAACGTTTAGTCCCCTTTTCAAATATTTTCCCTGAAAAGGTACTCTGCAAAGGAAAGGGTTCAGCCGGGGAAAATTGCCAACGCCTGGATAACCTGAAACAGGTCTGGCCGCTCTAATTTTTTCAAAATTTATGCCCACCATCTTTAAAATACAAAATTTCAAATTTAAGCGAATTTATCCATTTTCGCTTTTCTTTCATATCTTCCCTTGTACGAAAAACATTCGCAGACACCCGTTGTTTATTCTATTTATCATTGCATGTAAAATTCGCGTCTACGATACAATACATTGCAAACTATTACCTTCTCTCGATTGTAAAGATTTCCCAACTTAACTCAGGGGTGTTAAAGGAATTATTTGATCAGTTCGTAATGAGAACGTTACTGCATTTACAAAACAACTCGAGAAGGTAATTATTCTTCACTTCAATTCGGACATGTTCTAGGCATTCTATTCTGTCTCCAGTATAATGAAATTATATGATGAAATTTAAAAGCAGCAGTTAAGACTAGGCGTTGTATTGGTAAGTTAGTGTGATTGCTCTAGCTTCATTGACTCCTCTATCAGTAGCTACCCGTGTGACACCTATCAAATTGAGCGCTAAAATACTTTTATCTTACAACGCTCTCTAGTATTGTGATAAAACGTTTTTCAAAATGCATAGAGATCATACCTTCTGATACCACGATCCCGTCAATTGCTCAATTACATTGCAATATAATCACGTTTTAGTTTATAGAACATAAAGGTTTCAAGTTGCAACTAAAAGTTTCAAGGTTAATCCGATTATCAGACAGGTATTGCTTTGCCTATACGGTATAGAGCAATTTATGGCATACCTGTTAAAGTTATTTTCATATTATCATATGTTTCGACCCCAGCGTTGCATATGTTGTCCCAGTAGATGGAAATGTCTTGAAAGCTGGATAAGGCCAAGACCATCCATGTTTTCATTTTCATTCCATCCTTTTTGCATGATTCCGTTGTTAAATATTTTGTCAAAGACGTATTTTGTCATTTCTTAAATATATTTTCAATGGCATGGTGAAAACTCTAAAATTTATCTCAACAGCTATGAAATGGCTAGGTGAACAAAATTTTTGACACTGAGGATTTGGACTATAAATCTTTAACTTCTACATGGAAGTTCTCAAGACAAATTCATCCATTCTTGCGCCCTCTAGAATTTTCCTGCTTTTTTAAGGCTAATTTCTTTAGAGAAAGTGGTTTTCTTTTAAAGAGAGTGCTTTTTCAGTGATGAAGAAGTTGTCACTGACACTATATAATTGCCTCCTAATGATTTTTCTTAGCATGGTGATTCTGAGTGCTTCCTGAAGAAGCTTTTAAGCCGTAGTTGATGTTTTTTCATCTAATTGTAATTTATTTATTTAGGTTTTCTTGTTTTGTACTTGTTTTGTCTATGTCAAAGTGAGCATAGAACATTCAAAACCAACAAAACCAGAAATGGTAACTTTTTGGTAAATTTCAATATAGTGAAAATTTGTTTTGAATGAGTGACTGAGCTTTGCAATTTCAACAGACCGTAATAGACTAATGTCAGATTTAAATAGACTATACTGCTCTTTTGCATATGTGAACCTATAAATGTTGAATCACTTTATGGCAGTTAGATGCCAATAATTCAATTTTTTACGATCAGGAAATAGGTATGATATCTGGAAATCACGAGAAGTAATTTTAATTTTGGGAAATGATTCCTTTACAATCTTTGCTTTATTCTCAGATGATTTTACCTCAGAGCTAAATGTTTTTGATTATATACAAAATTCAACTACAAGATAACTACAAACCAACTTGTTGCTATTTGAAAACAAACTAGAAATTTTTGTTTGTGCTTGATTACAGGCAGACAGATCGCAGAGGTAAAGCTCGACATACTCATAGTTCAACTTTGGTACGAGTAGGCTTCCCTGCTGTCTAAAATCATTTAGAGTCTTACAATAGATCATGGCACAAGTTGCCAGCAAAGCATTTAGAAAGCGAACACAACCTGGATAAGCGGGATGAAATGATCCTTAAAGTACTCTCATTTATTTCTGGCAGAGTACTTAAGCATGTTTCAAGGAACTCTCATTTACAGTCAGCCCTCTCCAGTTTTAAAACCACTTCAACTTGAAATTAATAGATTTCTTGGAATTAGCCCGTGTAACATATTCGAAGTGGAGAAAGACGTCCGAATTTAATATTCATCAGTGTATTTGTTTCTAGTAGAAAATCACACACATAAGCTGAAGTTTTAGACTCAGATTTCGGGAAAATTTTAATTTTTAAGATTGCCATCTATTTGGAAGTTTACCTTTTGTGTGTCATAGTAACAATATCATTTTATCAATAGTTTGTCGCTGAAATTGCGTTAAGCTACCAGAAACTGCTTTTTCACAGCATCGATAAATTCATCTAGGTATGAATTTGAAAATATTTGAGAAAAGGTTTGATTATCTCCAACACAAAATGCACCCCGAGATCAAACTTTAAATCACCTTGAACACATAATCTGTCTGAGCAAGATGTTGATAAAAGAACACTACTTTAGTCGGAGCAAATTGGTTATGTCTTGAGAATTTTGGGGTTAAAACATTTAACTTGTCATAAGACTAATTGCCGTCACCGTCACAGAAATGTTTTACCATTATCTTAAAAATAAATCAACATTCTGCATCCTTGTACATTTGTACTTTATGATGGCTTTACGAAGGCCCCAATATAAATATCTTGGAAAATGTTTATGATGATGCTGGACCGTTTTCTGTTAGTCATATTTTTCTTACCATTTTAAAATATCCCGTTATTTTGTATCTTACTGTCACTTATCAAGGCCTGAAAGATTTTCGTCCATTTTGCAATTTTATTTGTTGTCTCTGGCAACGATTGTCAAATCAGTTTCTAAATAAAACATAGTTTATCTTTTTCAGTAAACCGTTTAAATTGCAAAAATAAAACTACCCTAGACAAAATCTAATCTCGATTCCCAGTTATGCATACAAGTAAATGATTAGAAAAACTAAAAGTAATATTTTCGAAGCTTGATTTAATATTGACGGAACAGACAAAATATTAATCAATGACAGTGTTGGGCGGAAATTCTTCAGAGATGAAAATACCTGACTCTTTTGAGGCGTGTTTTTTCAACCGGGCAATATGGAAAGAAAGGGTAATCTAAATAACCATATTTGGTTCAATTTGTCACATTTCATAATTTGTTGACAAGAAATGACAAAACCCTCATGTCCCATCAACTCAATAATGTCTTTTAATTAATTCGAAACATGGTTAATGAGGGAAGGTTTCAAAATGCATCAACAAATGGCTGATGTATCTTCCATTGTGTTTATCTTGAAAGGAAAATCCTCTTTATTATGTACATGAGACTAATTTAATTTCATAGGTCTAACTAAAGTGTGGTGCAACCCTCACATAGTCGCTTTGGCGATTTCCAACAAAATAAATGAATGTTTTGAAATTTTATGCGTTACGCAAGTTTTTTCTTTCTAGGATGGTAAATTTTTTTTAAAATTCAAGTGAAGATAGAGACAGCACGATCCATTTGAACCTTGAAAATGAAGAGATAATCAGATTAAAAATAAAAAAGGAGGAACATCTATGAAATGGTATGTACCTTTTGCAAATTCTCTGGCACCTTTGATTTCCGCCTCAGCAACCATGCAGCTTAGTCCACTAAACTCTTCACTTGAGCCTGTTCCTGCCAAAGTATTATAATCCATGCTGGCGTGTACGTTAAGGTCTCCTTGGCTCTTGATGTGATCTTGAGGGTTTTCCATTTGATTTTCATAAGGGCTTGTGTCGCTCCGCCTTAAAATGTGCTCAACAAGAAAAGACGATGATATTGGTTCAAGATTCAATTCTCTATTTTTTCTTTGGTCCATAGAAAATCACCTAGATTAAGGCAGGTGACGATGTATGGGTGAGCACCTTTTTAAGTTGATGGACCTGATGAATGACTGTAGCCCTGTGCTAGATCCGTCCCTTAAAGTGTATCACTCTTTCTAAGTCAGGTACTCAGTAGAAGAGCTGGACGATAAATGAGCCGTCGCTTCTTTCCACGATAACTATATTGTCAGTGTGGTAAAATCAAGCTCAAATAAAGCTAATGGAATCTATTGATCGTACACACAGCTGGGTTTGTCAGCTAAACGCAGAAATTCACTAGGCAGGCGGTCGTATAATGGTCTGTTTACCGGATATTGTTGACACTGATCCGCTCCGGTCTTTACAGTTGCTGAAAAGTGCACGCCTATAACCATATCAAAGTCTTCATTGAAGCCAAAAGACACAGATTTTATAACAGAACAGACCACCTAATCAGCCCTCGAGAGTTTGCATCAGCAGATCAAACACAATATAATCAAAAAATCACATTACCAAGTGCTTCTTGAGCCTTTGCTCCTCAGTACAACGTGGCTACATGTGCATTAGAAGTTAACATTCTACCATAATTGGTAAACTGAGTTTTGTTCTCTTCAAGAGGATCCTTCTTCTTCATTTTTGGTGTTAATTCAAAGCGGAAATCGCTGTTAACGATCTCATAAACCGTCTCTTAACCCCTTATTGTACACTTCGTTGAAGGTCTTGACAAATTAGCCGTAACCACTGAAGAAGGCACTTTATAAGTAATTTAATGTTGCGAATAGGCGCCCAGAGCGTTGTATACTTGTAGAATCGTGATGTGGTAATTTTTTCAAGGGGCGCTAAATTATGGGGCGTTATTTGAATGCAGAATGATGTCTACTTTACTGAATCTTATAAAGATTGAGGTTAGTTTCGTGCCAAATAGACCAAAGCTCATACTCTGTACCGAAGATAGCTTTTGAAACATGACATTTTAATTTGGACTAAAGGGGTTGAAACCTGCCATAAATGTCATCATCATAACAATCATTATCATCATGATCACCAGTTTTATCATTTACCCACAACATTTAAGGCCCCGGCCAAACAACTCGATTTTTCATTCGATTTTTTACTCGACAAGACCTTGTTGAACAAGTCGAATGGCGTCGAGTGATGTCGAGTGAAGTTTGATCTCTATCAAAAAAGTCGAGTGAACAAGGTGTTGTCGAGTGAAAATCGAATCGTTTAGCCACCTTGTCGAGTGAGTCGAGTAAGCGCGTGTGCAGTTATCATCTCTTATGCTGGGTAGGGAAGGATACTACCCTGGGGCCTCGAGGTCCCGGGGACCTTTTTAAGTGATGAATTCCATTTTAAGAATGGAATTAATCAAAAGAAACAAAATTTTGCCTAAAAATAGTAATTTGCTTAAACGAAATTAATACTTAATGGCGGTTCCTGCATGAAACGAACGAACAGGGTCTTGTGTCGCTTGCGTTCGTCAAGAGATTGTAAAAGGATATTTGCACGCAAGATAAACACGGCAACCGATTTACGTCTCTTTGCCTTCATTTTGTTGGCGTGAGTGAAAAGTCGAGTTAAAAATCGAGCGAAAGATCGAATCGTTTGGCCACCCATGCTCGACTTCGCTCTATTTTGAGATCAAATGTCGAGAGAAAGATCGAGTGAAAAATCAAATCGTTTGGCCAAGTTAACCAGTTTTATCAAAGATTTTATTTTGAAATCTGAAGGCGAGGCTATTTCCAAAGCGGTCAAAAGAAAAAAATGACGATAATAGTTCAAATATGTAAGCTACATTTTTGCACAATGATATCAAATGTTGCAGGATTTACAAAGGAGCCAGTTAGCATTTATTGTTTTCAGCACGGGGAAGTCCGGCACACATTAAATTCTGGCGCGTTTGAGGCGCGGCTGAAGAGACAAATCTCACTGGAAGAGGAGGAGTAGGTTAGGGGCTACACCCCAAGAATAATTCATAGGACCAGTTCCTTGTGATATTGGCATGGATTGTTTCATTTCTACAGACAACTTGGCAATGCCCTTTAGATATTTTAAACATTTAATCAATTATTTAAAAGAATTGATGTGGGTCGAGCTTTTACAAAGATATGAGGTGGGTGCGGCTGAAAGCTGATATGATGGCACGGGGAAGAACTTCCAGGAAAGCAGACTGGAAAAGAGCTGTCTGAAACCATTGCATTAGAGATAAAAGAAGATCGGATTATTTTTGGTTTTAGTTTCTAATGCCCTTTTGCGTGTTTGTTTACAATCAAAAGTTTATTGAAACGACAAATTTTTATACTTCGTTTCCCCTTTAAACACCTTGTTAAAAGAATATCTAATTGTTTGTTGAGCCTCAATTTTCGTAAAATTTTTTAGAGCCTAACATTATTATAAGGGACACATGGCGTAACTGGGTCATATTATAGTGTATATGTCTCCAATGCTGGATACGTCTATTTCAAGACATTAAGCGCGAGACTCGTTTTTCTTGCTTTCCAAAAAATTAAATAAACAGAAATCTAATTCTTGATGAAGCCTGAGCCTTGGACTGTTCGTAAATTATTCTTAATTTTCAGCAATTTTGAGCCTTAATATTCTAATAGTCTTAAAATAAAGTGTACCTTTTTTAACGTTCTGTCACATTTCTTTCTTAACATATTTTAACTATTGAGGACTCATACTTACTCGTTTCAGATTAGGATTTCAGCATTCAGAACATTTATCTGTTCAATAGTTATGTTCAGAGCAAAATGAGATACACATGTAATGGGAATATATGCCTTTACACTCAAAATAGGTTTTCTATTCTGGCACAGTTGCAAATATGCAGTAATGCGATTTTCCTCTACCATACAACTCTAGTTGTGCTGGGTGTAATGCGATCTAATTCAGGATTAAAGGGAACTTTCATTTTTATTTGCATTCCGTTAATTTGAGTTTGAAAAGAGGTGAACAGTGAATTTTTTTGCATCGTTTAATGTCTGATGCAGAATAAAATATGAGAAATAATGAATAATGTAAAATGCAAAATGTATAGTGTAAAATATACAGTGTATAATTTGTAATAAAAAATTGTGTAAAATGCAATGTTTTAAACGACATCTTGCACCAAAATTATCTAATTTATAATATCTAAAATAGTTCTTTGCTGTTAAAGTCAGTGCAAATATAAACATTATTTTGAAGGGATAGCATTTGAAGGAAAAGAATTTTCATGGAAAGCACGTAGTTCTAAATTGTGTAATTGACTTAGAATATTTGCCTCAAAATTTTCCTAATATAATTATCCTAAATTAAAGGCTTGTTATTGCCTGCTGGCAAGACCCAAGATTTACCTCGAAACCTCAAGATACACTCAAGTGTCGAAATTTATCTCCAAATGGTTAATTCCAAACGGTCATCGATATTTGGGTGAAAGTTTCTATCGTGCTATTTAAATCATTTGTCACATTTTCCTGATAATAATGGAAAGTTTTGACTCCTCATAGGATTGGTTTCTTATATTCCCATATTCAATAACCATTTTGAAAATAACAGTACATTTCGTTTCGAGGAATGGAGAGTCTCTATATTCCAGTCGAACCAGTTTTAGTACCAGAAAGTTAAGTACCAGACCCTTGATCTCTTCACTCCTTATTCATGGAGGAAGCTCCTTATTTTGATGAAACATTTAGCAACAAATTTTTATTCATTGATTAGAGGGTATATTGCTGCCTCAGAGGTTTCATGTAAAAGGTCTGTAAAAAGTAAGCAAATAATTTAATACTTTGAAGGCCAAAGTTCGGAACAGATAAAAACTCGACCTCACCGCTAAATTCCAGGCAGGTAATTTACCTCACAGAAAACATGAGCGATCAATTATTAGAATGGACTAAACTGAAGAAAGGTACAAATGATTATTTGCTATCATAATTTTTAATAGTATCTTGTTTCGTAGCAACATATGGATTAAAATTATTAACACCATTACCTTTTGTAATTGTAACCTTATCAATTTACATAACCACCTTTATTGTTAAAATCAATTTTCGTTTCGCATTAAGCCCTAGCAAATACGAAGGATGAGGGGCGGGGGCATCATTACTATCTGGAGAGAAAAAGAGCCCAAATTTGAGACATTTTTTGCATAAGTGTACGAAAAGCAAGAAAATGGTGGTACTGTCTTATTGTTTTTGTCCAAATTTTCCGACGACTCCGGCAGATTTTAGAAAAAAAATGGGTTAATATAAGGGCTTAAAATAGTTGAGTTGGCTTCTTAATGGAGGTTTGTCTGTATAGGAATTATATAGAACATGATTATTTTATAAGAAGTATTTATGGTATAAATATAGGTATGTGGAGTTGTGCGCATTGGGACTTGTCTTTTAAATGTTATTCGCTATGCAAAATATAAAGAGAGATGTTTATTCTCCTTACTAGCACGTTTTGATAGATTTCAACAAAGATAACAAATATAAAGATGTATACTAATCCTTGATATGTTTGGTCTCTAACCTACCTTGAAAAGGCATATTTTGTTTGCACGTATTTGAGAGCAATCAATAACAACAACAGCAACATGTAGGGATCATCATAGTCAGCGATCAAAATGATTACAGTGATTAATAGCTCAGTCGTGTATGACATCATCGTTGCTATAGAAATGACCTATCATCAATAGAGAACAATATTACAACTGAAAAGTAAAGAATGCAAGCGATCCGTTTCTGCCACAAGCTTCTTAGTAATGATCACACAGCAACTTTATATATCAACATTTCTATTTTGATGAAAGACATTTCCCCATAGGCTGAAATGTGGTTGCTGTGCCTTCAGCGACATGTTTTAACGGCTATGTATATTGCGCTGTAAGATTGTATTAAGGCGGAGAAGAGGGCTGGCTATTTGCACATGCTAACCTCAAATCCGTTAATGACCAGTGGGCAGAAGTCCTAATGGCGAATGTACGGAAATCCATACCCATCTACTTTTGTTGCCCATTATTCCTGCAATGTCCTTCTTATCTGTTTATTGAATGATTTGAGACAGTCGACAGCCATCTAAGTGCTCAGGCTTCAATCGGCAAACTGTCTCTTTGCTAGTTTATGATATTAGCTCCTCATTTTCAAAATTTTCACGATTATTCAACGCTGACATGAAAGTTTTTATTTAACTATACACGGTTAGGCTGTCTTTGTTTGACAAACTTGGAATCAGAAGACGAATCTTATTTGATAATTTGCTCCGATTAAAAATAAGGAGGTGTACATTGGTTTTTTTCAGTTTTACAGAAAAAATTCTTTACTCCCCATCTTTTATAGCATTCATTAGAAGAAGTATGAAAAGAGAAGGAAAGAAATATCATGCAAAAATAAGAAAGATATCAATTTATAAATATAAATGCTTAAAGTTTGCTGTTGAGATCTGACTAGAAAAAGTCGGAGTAATGTATAAATCGTATGTTTCCATTAATTAATTTTCAATTACAGCACACTCGAGAGAAGCAAAGGAGTTTGGCAAAAGTTTGGGATTTTTAATATGTAATGAGTTTTGACCATAATCAGTCATTAATTGACTACGGTATCAATTTTTTTTTGTACATACGTGCGCAACATGATTTACAATGTATGCAAATTTTTATCTGATCAAGCTATGATTGACGAAAAAATGACGCAATCTGAGGACGCAATATGAGGACGCAATATAAGGACGTAAAACGTTTGATTCATTTCCACTGAAATTGGAACGCAATCTTTTGAAAATGTATCCGTGAAGACTAGGTATATCTCTCAGGTGCATTTTAATTTTTATATTAATCGTCCATTGCTCAAATATAGAGGATTACTTTAACTATACGGGCTGATTATCAAACATTATTTAGGCCGCTTGATATCTTGAATATTCTTCTCATTAGAAACCATTAATTACAACGTTTCAAGAACTGTTCAAAGGGTCTTTGTAATGTTGTTTATCATTGATTCCGGATTTAAAACCAATTGATTCATCATCGATAAAGTTTCATACTATTCTTGCCACTAAAGTCGATTCCATAAAAACTCAAATAAATAAACAATTTAATTCTTCATGAAGCTCTACCCTTGCATTTTACTTAAATTATTCTTTAACTTCAGCAATTTTGAGCCTTAATATTCTTATGGACTATATTATTATAAGAAAAGTGTGTATCACTTGTAGACAAGAGAGTATAACTCTTTGGTAA